AGCTGAAACAACCAATTTTGTATTTGCTACTTGTCCCTTCTGGTTAAGTGAACCATCTTCTGATGTGCATTTGTTTCAACCTGTTTGAACTTCTAACAGGGGAACTACATGTACAAGCGCAAAGGATGTTTGATGATCATTTGTATAAGCAGTTGCTTGCAATCATAGGTTCAGCTGTTAAACAAGCCATAATCATCAACGATAGTTCTGAAACTGAATTTGTAAGCCAAATTTCTACTTGTCCTTCTTAACTTACTCTCTTTTTCCCCTGATGTCTTTGGCTGTTTATTTGTAGTCACTGCTGCTCTTTCATAATGTATTATCTTTTGAAGAGAACAAGGAAGTGTAACTTAACACACTAGAAAGAAACATACAATTAAAATGGAAAGTTAGCAAAATTATTCCCTCTTTGTTCGTCATCGATCATTATACCTGAACCATGCCCCTGAAATTTTGTGTACGATAGTCCTCTCTAATGTAGCCATTGCTGTGCTTATGAAGACTGGATACTCTTTTGTAGCTATCAAGAAAGTGTACAGCAGAAATTATTGTTAGTAGCAATAGTAACAGGGAACAGATGGCCTACACTTTCATTTATGTTTATATATCACTTCATGTTTAATAGAATCTCTTACTTTTCTTTAGGGACATGTTCCACTTGTGTTACGCACTGTGCTGGAGATCCTTCCAATGTTACGTCCAACAGAGCACATTTCTTCTGCGTGGCTTAATCTTATTAGGGATTTTTTGCAATATCTGCCAAGATTGTGTTCTGCTGTACAAAATGAGGAAGATGACGCAGAGGAAGCCGGCACTAGTGACCAAGTTCCAGGTATAAAATTGGCTTGTTTTCCCCATACTTTTGAATGTCAACTGTAACTAAAGAAAAATAAAATTTATTCCTGCAGATGATCACTTGAGGATAAAACATGAAACACCTAATGGGACTGATTCTATATCTTCAAACAGAGTAGAAGGTTCTCCGAGTTCTGGATTAAAGACATCTGTAACAGCAGGCATCCCTAATTATATGTTTGCGGAAAAGCTTGTTCCCTTGCTGGTAGATCTTTTTCTACAGGCCCCAGCAGTTGAAAAGTATATCTTGTATCCTGAAATTATTCAAAGTCTTGGGAGGTACTGATGGCTCTTTGGTCTAGTGCTAATTTTGTTCTACTGCAACTACACTTTTCTAGAAAAAGGTCGTTACGATCAGAAATTGATAATTAACTGAATACTGGTGTATAAGAGCTTATAACATGAAACTTGGTAGAAGGCGCAAAGCGGGGAAAATAGTTATTATAATCTTCCTGCACTTACAGTTGTGAGGGACTGTTAAATATTCTAATTGTTCCTGAAGATGAAAGGTTTCTCTGGATTATGATACCTGGGTGACTAATATATTAATCAAGAGGGAATTTTGAGAATATGTCTGCTTCTTAGTGACTTTCATACCCGAGCTCAGTTTAACATAAAAAGTACTTGAATCTTCAATGAATGCTTGGAATTTCAGTAACCACAACTCAACTCTATCGTATATCTGTATTTTTCAATCTTATTTATTTTTGGATTAAAAATCTTTTTTCTTTTTATTGAGAAGATTAATCTCTTTTTAACTAGAAAATAACAGCATCAGGCTTTTGTCTTAGGTGTATGACGACAAGAAGAGATAATCCAGATGGTGCTCTTTGGAGATTAGCCGTTGAAGGCTTCAATCGCGTTCTAGTTGATGATGCCAGAAACTTGGCTATAAATGCCGGACTAGATTCAGGTGCTAGTAAGCCTGCAAGAACACGTATATGGAAGGAAGTTGCCGATGTTTATGAAGTATTCCTTGTGGGTTATTGTGGTCGAGCTCTTCCCTCTGATTCTTTCTCAACTGTGGATGTAAAAACTGATGAGTCCCTTGAGATGACCGTCTTAGACATTCTTGGTGACAAAATTCTGAAGTCTTCAATCGACGCACCTTTTGATGTAATTTTCTGACCAACCATAAAACAGATAGTAGATTGTAATATTAGTAGTAGTGGCGGTAGCCATGGTAGTGGTGATGTTTGAATGAGGTGGTAGTTACAGGGTTGGGATGATGGAATTAACATCTTTTGCATATCTTAGTGTTGAATTCTGTGTGGTGGAAATTACAATAATAGCCTGATATGAGAACAGCCCTGTGAAAGGTTCCTATGCCTTGTCCTATGTTGTGACCTCTTCTTGTTGATTGGGTTATTTAGGTCATATATGGGTCGCAGGGGTCCAAGTTTTGAGCTTGTATGTCTTCTGGCCTTGGTTTTGATGTTTCTTAATCATGATGTTAACATTGCAAATCAACTGAGTGGAATCATTTAGGGTCACCACTAACTTGGGTGATGTGTGGAATAGAGATACCTTAGGAGCATTTTTGTTCAACTACTATTTTATTATTTTTCTAATGGAAAATCTTTGATTTTAACAGATTTTGCAGCGGCTGGTTTCCACCTTGGACCGTTGTGCTTCACGTACTTGTTCTTTACCTGTCGATTTTGTGGAACTTATGCCTTCCCACTGCAGCAGATTTTCCTTGACTTGTTTACAGAAGCTATTTTCCTTGAGCAGGTAATGTATTAAATAGGGTTGTCTTCTACTTATATTTCACCTTCTGATGTATGGGAGTATTGATTTACACTGTCCATTTAAGTATTTTACCAGGTTGACCATTTTAGGTCCTGGACAAACTCCTCTCGATAAGATGGTTCCAGTTATATCTGTGCATTCCCTAGTAATACCATCATAGGAGTCTTATACAATACTAAAACCATCATAGGAGTCTTTCTTTCTTTTTCTTTCTATTTAAAACATCCAAACAGAGGAAAGTAACAGTGTAATATTTATTTACCATTCTATGCCCTCTTCATTACTATTTTACTTTCTGCTCCATTTCTTCAAGTCTCCTAAGCGTACTCTTAATAATGTTTAAACCTGTTCGCATCCATTTGCTTTAAAATACAATATTTTCTCACAGTATTTTATGTACTCAGTTATGACAGCAAATCCAATGATTGGAATTCAGCGAGATATGAGGTGAGCAAAATTGCAATCATGGTACTCATAACCAGATGCGAATACATCTTGAGCAGATTTCTGATTGACGAGAATGACTTAGGTGCGTATGTTATGTTTTCCTATTATCACTTGTTTAAAGAATAAACAAAACAAAAAAACTTAGTATCTTGTATTATCATGTCTTTTTCTGCAGGTGGTCGCCCATTGCCATCAGCAAGACTTGAAGAAATTATTTATGTTCTTGAAGAGTTGGCTCATCTGATAATTCATTCAGATACTGCATCGGTTCTTCCCTTGCAACCGCATTTGAAAAGTGCCCTAGAAAAGGAAAAGAATCATGACATGCGTCCACACCTTGTTGTTCTATTTCCCTCCTTATCCGAGCTTGTAGTATCAAGGTGAGAGTAATACTTCTTTTCTTTTTATGAAAATGATATGGGACATAGTTGAAATAATATTGAGATGGAGAGTGTAAAATGGGGGAGTTACTGTCAATTAATTTCTTTAAACCTATATATTAGTTCACTTACAAATTACCAGTCATAAGCTTGTAGTCTAACTGTAAAGCTGACCACGGTATCATAATATTATGATGATTATGTGGTGGACTGGGTAGCAGATGACATTAAAGGGAGTTTTCCCAGTATGACAGAGCATATTAGTTAATCAGAGATTAACGGCAGTAGAAGTGAAGTAGACTCAAAAGAACGTAACTGGAATTTTTTGAGAGAGCAGGCAATGTAACTGGAATCGTGGAGAACTTGAATCTGTTGTCTAGAGAGAATAATGGCAAGATCCATTTAAAATATCTTAAATGTGGCTGGCATCAAATTAACTAACTAAAAAGATATGAGAAATATCATGCACTTATCTTGAAACTGCCAGTGCTCCGACTCAGGTAATGAGACGTAAATTTATAAAGCATGCATGTATACATTGAATTCTTTTTTCATATTTTATGCTACATTGTACCAAGCGTGCTCATCGCATGTTGTTTCTTTATCCTTTTGTTGAACAGAGAAGCAAGAATAAGAGGGTCCGTTCAAGTCTTATTTAGGCTCATCGCCAAAGAATTGGGTCTAAATAGAGTTTCTATAAGCAGTGAAAATGCCGAAGAATTCATACCAAGTACACAGCAACCCTAAGTTTCATGATCTAAGGTTCTTATTTATCTTTTGCATTTTTTGTCTTTACTGGTGGTGGTTTGATGACGAATTTTCCATTAGCGAGGGTCATATAGTTTGTACATTGTATCAATTTTGTTGTATTCAAAACACTACCTCAGGGGTAGTAAGTTCTAAGGAATCAAATTTCCGATTCTTTTGAAACCGAAAAAGGTTATCCGATTCTTTGGTGCAAATATGCTTTCGAAGGCTTTGCGTCTAGTTTCCAAGGCTTTGGATTGCGGTTCCAACTTAAATATGGCAACTTGCCGATGTACTTTAATTGGGCTTCACCAATTTTTTGTTGTGTATGCTATAATTGTTTCAAAGGCTTGTCCTAGTAAAATGCTTGAATCACATGTGATTCTAAAGCATCACTATTTTCAGTTCTAATTGTAAATGCCTGAATTGCTCATAATCATTGGGTTTGTGCGAAAAGTGTGTTAACATTTTGTTCAACCAGGTATTGCTCTAGATAATAGTCGACTTGATTTGTTTTATTTTCTTTGCCAAACATATTGCCCTCCCTTTATCTTACAGATTACAGAAAAAATATATTGTCTTTCTATTCATCTTTACTTTTTTGAGTCGATTTAAAAATTCGTACGAACACTAGGTCATTTATTCATCAATGGCCCCTGTTTTAGAAGAAAGCACAAGCCCTCTCACCCCCTAGATTGAAAAACAACTCATGTCTAGTAAAAGTGACAAACCAACCCTCCTTTATATACGCTTATATTGCTAGTTCTAGGCCAAACCCAAGTACAAACACCCAGACAAATCCGTGACTTCTTGTGCAAGCTATTTTGGCATTTCGTTACTATTGGTCTGGTTGAGCCTAGCTGCTGCTGCCACCGAAGCTGCCACGCCCGTTGGGTGTGTAGTCAGAAACGGATCATTTCTCATCTCTGCACCCGTCACCCCCTCGGCATCTCGCCGTGTTGCCGGTTTGTCTGCTGGCAATTTTGAAGTAGCATCCTGCAATTTAAACACAACACCGCCAAACGTCGCATACATCAACATGGACGTCCACCACAAAAAGTTTTAACAAATTTTCCTGGCTATCTATATACATACCGCTAGAATGTCGGCGAGTTTCGTCTTCTCTTCATCCTTCGTAGCCCGAGCGTTGAGGGTTGCTGCCGACTGAGCTGCGGCCGCCACACCACCGGGCACAATGTTGGTTCGGCCAGTGGCTCTGACTTCGGCTGCTTGAATTGCGGCGGCATCACTCCACTCCACCGGTTTCTGTCCGGCTGTCATAGCAGTGGCCTCCAGGGCTTCACCAATGGTGATTTGACCACCAGCCCCACCAGCTTGAATGGTGTTTGGCACTGCCAAAGGAGCTCTCTGGCTGTATTGCCCCACAGCCTACCCTTCACAAACAACAAACATAAACGTATATACATGTATTATATATTTATGTTTCCATGTGCAAGTTGCAAGCAATGAAAAAACCAAAACATTCACCCCAACCAATTAATCAATGAAAGAAAAATAATAATAATAAAAGCAAGGAGTTAACAAATACTTTCTTTAGAATTTTATTATTTTGAGTTCAATATTAAAAGAAAATGATGGTTCCCGGTGTTATGTTTAGTAGGTGCTTGCTTTCAATTTGTATAGATTAATATTACGAGGTAGTGGTTAATTGGTTTGGAGGTCAAACTTTATACCTCAACCAATTCATAGATTTTCCTTTGCTTTTCATGATCTACATTCCTTGTATTTGAATCCGAACCCTAAACCAATCAACAAGGAACCGAATAAAAGAAGAAACATTGAAAACAAAAGACAAGTATTGTTAAAATTATGTGAATATCTGTATATATTTATACACAAAGGAAAGGGATATATGGGACCTGTCCAGCGATTGATTCTGTTATTATACGGCGTCCCGGGAGATCAGCCTCCTTAACGCTAACGCCCTCGTCTCCTGTAACAATATTGGCATTCATGTCATCGGGACCCACCACCCCAGCCTTCTTGTTCTGCGTGGCGGCGGCCTGTAAGGTTGCGGCTGCACCTCCCTTGATGGTCTTCCCAAGCACCGCATTCTCCGCCGCCTGCATGATGGCTGCGTCCTTGGGCGCCACCACCTTGTCCGCCAGCTCACCGCCCTGGACACCGGGAAACACGTCCCCATATTTCACGGCTTCCTTCTGATCCTCGGGCTTCCGCGGCTGTTCTTGGCTCATTTTGTAATTTGATCCAAATTCCTGGATTATTATTAGCAGCAGCTTTGAGCGAAATTTGTCAAATCTTTGTAAAGAAAATCAAACGGGGATTGGGGAAGAGGGGGCTTTTAATGTACGGTACGTGCATGGTGGCATGGGGCGTTCAACGTTTGGACACGTTGGTGCTCTGAAGGTGACACGTGGAGAGTACTTGGCGAATTTTCAGCTGAACTGTTGGTTTTAAAAAAAAAGTCTTGACGTACATGGTCAAGGGTACGACACGTGGCTTAGACATCAAAGATAATGACTGGGTCCAAGTCATAATAACTGCGCCGAGCTAGGGTCTAATTCGGTATTATACTCTGGAAAATAACCCAGTAGGAGTAGCCCAATAATCCACACCTCAAAGTCCTATACTTCCAGGCCCAGACCTATCAGCCCACCCAAAGTAGGCCCACTAAAGTTTTCTTTCTTCTCTCTCCTACTTCTTTCTCAATCTTCTCTTCTTCCTACTTCAGCCAAGCCAAGCAGCCAAGCCTCCCACCTCCTGTTTTCTGTGTGAAGTTAACTGAGGACGTGAGCTGCCAATTCTTCTTTAGGTAATGTTTCTCTTTACAATCTCTGTGTGTTGAAGTTAGGGTTGGCTGAATTATTGACTGTGTATTTAATTGAATTTGTTTTGTTTTCTTATAGAATCTCTGAGAGAGACAGAGAGACGGTCTGAAATGGAAGCTGAGAGAAAGCTGTCGGTGGAGGCAGAGGCGATATTCAGAGAAGGCGTAGCATTGGTTCTGTCTCGGTGGTCGGCGCTCCAATTGGCCGTCGACAACGAGTGGGGCGGCCGTGACTCGCGCCGCAAATCGGAGCAACTCGCCGCCGACGTCTTCTCCTGGTTCACTCAGTCTAAAGGTACTTTTCTCAACTCTCTCGTTCGTTCTGATTGCTGTGATGAAAAGGAATGGATTTTCTGATATAGCTAGTCTATATGTGTTGATTTTGCTCAGAGGTTCTTTACATAGATGACTTAGAAGATATTCTGAATGAAGCTATGCTTTCTCTTAATACCGTGACAGAGGATGGCAGCATTGAGGAGGTACGCTTGCTTTCCCTACTCTGCCACCCTTCTTTGTATCATCAGAGAAACACCTTATCTTGTATTTTGTATGTATATGCTTCTGCTTGTATATTTCCTCGAATAGACAATATATGAGGAGGATCAATTTCACGTGAACTTCTTTACCATGTTTGTTATTGGTTTTCTATCTTGATGGTGTTTATGATCTCTCTATTTGGATCTTTATAGGTAGCTGAAAAGTTAATGTTTATGAATGAAGAATGTTTGAATGGTGATTTCAAGTCTGTTGAAAGCCTAAGAGAAGCCAATCATCGAAGAGTTGCTCTTCCTCATGTTAAACAGGTGAGTTATATTCAACACCCTCAGCCTGAAAAGTTTTACTTCAATAAGACATATATTTTTTTGGTGGTTTTTTACTATTAATCTTATGACAAAATGTGAGTAGACATAGGAAAAGGGACTGCGTCATTTGATAACATAATACACATATTATTACCAGTAATGTGCGTTAAGAATTCACTTGTTCATGGTTCTATTTGAAGAAAATCTCAATTGTTGATAGATATGAATTGGTACACCACATAACCATTAACTTTTGAGGATGATGGTGATGGTGGAGATTGTGCTTGTAAATTGACAATCCTGGCAAAATATGAGAGGCTGGTGCTATGTTTAGGTCTAGAGTTTGACTCTAGTTGGGGGTATCAGCATGTAGGAAAGACAACAGCTACCTTACTGCCTACTAATGTCATGTTATAAAGGTCTGCATCGGTATTTATTGTTATGTTGCAATTTATGCAATGAAGGTGGCATGCTCTTATGAAAAGTCATCCCATATTAAACATACTTTGTTGAATTGTTAAGTTGTCGACTGAACCTGTAAAGAAACCATCAACCTTACGACTGCTGATGTGGTAATTGTTTTGTGAATGCATTTTCCTTGGATCTTAAATTTGTATCACTCTATTCCATGCTGTTGCCAACTTTTAGTCTAGTTTAGAGAACCCCTTTTGGACACTGGGTTCATGGGAGGTCTTTGGACTGCAACCGTTCATGCTGGATAACCTTGCTTGTTCATATGAGTTATGTTCTTTTGCTTTTTCTTTTGATTCCTTACTCATTTAGGTGAATGACGATGATGATGATGATGACGACAATGAAAGAGATGATACCCTCGAGAATGATGGTCCGTCAAACATGATGGTGGACACACCAGAGTCCCAGTCAAATTCAAATCCAGTAGATATGACAGACAATAAACCAACTCCCAAGCCGGCAGCTAAAACAGAAGATGGATGGGAAGTAGTTGGACCAAGGCGTAGTAAAGGTAAAAGGAATTAGGTTGAACTCCCTAACTATACTTCCCTAAAAAAATTTGCCATTTCTATCTCTGTGAAGTAGAGTTTCTGTAATAGTATATTGTTTGATCATGGTGATAATAGCTGGTTGGTTTGTTTTGTTTTTGCCAATTTGCCCTGTATTATTTTGCCTTGGACCATAATGACAGAATCATATTTGAATCTCTTTGACAATGACACACAAGACAATTGAATTTGGGAGTTGTAGTAGCCTAACCAATTGGGCAATAATTGAAATCGAACAAACAGAGAGAGAGATCCAGGCTACTTCTATTGCATCAGCTTCATACTTAGTCCAAAAAATCCCAAGTTAGCAAGTTAACTTTCCAATGACATCAGATAATTAAATGCTTGATAAACTCATCATAAGCTCATATTATAATGTATGCGACAGAAAATCAAATAGAAATAGTAGTCGAATACTTCTCTATTTGAGTGAAACAAAAGAATGAGCGCAATTTGAGCTTGAGAATTGGATGCCTAGTTAAAATCATACTTCTTGAGCTTCACTGCAACTCTTCAAATGAACCCTTTTTAGCTGCAAACTTCACCGGCCCTCTCAAAGATAACGATAACCCTCCGATTTCCTCTCTCAGATTACCCAAAATATTTTACAACATAAAAATAATCACCACATTTTGCTTTTTTCCAATCAACCTCATCACCATACCAACTCTACTTTCTCAAACCAGCGCCCCTCCAACTTCAACTCTTCCTATTTCTCCTACTACAATGAACATTGTCGCTTCCTTCCTAATTTTTACCTCACACGTCATCTACATCCTTCCATTTATTTCATCTCAAGTAACACACCTGCCCTACTCCAGCAACCTAGGCCAATGGCACCTCCTTCATTCATCCATAGGCATCTCCGCCATGCACATGCAACTCTTACGTACAAACATGGTCATCATGTTCGACCGGACCGACTACGGCCCCTCCAACATCTCCCTCCCTGACCGCCAATGCCGGCATGACCCCAACGACACCTTGCTCAAAGTAGACTGCACGGCTCACTCCATCCTCTACGACATCGGCACCAACACACTCCGGCCCCTAACCGTACAAACCGACACGTGGTGCTCCTCCGGCGCCGTCTTCCCCGACGGAACCCTAGTCCAGACGGGCGGCTACAACGACGGCGACCACGTGGTCCGCACGTTCACTCCATGCACGGGCGACAATTGTGATTGGCTCGAATTCCCAAATTACTTGGTACAACGTAGATGGTACGCTAGCAACCAAATATTACCTGACGGTCGTATAATCATTGTCGGAGGCAGACGACAATTCAACTACGAATTCTACCCGCGCAATTTCCAAAACCCTCCTCGCACTTTCTGGCTCGATATTTTGAGACAAACAAAGGACCAAGACGAGAACAACTTGTACCCATTTCTCCACCTCTTACCAGATGGGAACTTGTTCATTTTCGCAAATACCAAATCAATACTCTTCAACTACAACCAAAATGTCGTCGTTAGAGAGTTCCCCGAAATACCCGGTGGCGAGCCTCGTAATTATCCAAGCACCGGCTCCTCGGTGCTGCTCCCGTTGGACGAAAACAAACCCGCCAATGTAAACATTGAAGCCGAGATAATGGTCTGCGGCGGAGCGCCGCGCAACTCGTTCGTGCTCGCTTCCCGTGGAGAGTTTATCGATGCACTCGGCACGTGCGGGCGGCTCAAGGTGAGTGACCAAAACCCCTACTGGGTAATGGAGGAAATGCCGGTTCCCCGAGTCATGGCCGATATGCTTCTTTTACCAACCGGAGACGTCGTTATCATAAACGGCGCCGCACTAGGCACGGCCGGATGGGAATACGGGCGTGACCCAGTAACCAAACCGGTCATATATCGGCCGTCGGAGAATCCGAACAGGCGTTTTTCGGTCATGGCCGGTTCGCAGAGACCGAGACTTTACCATTCCGCTGCTGTTTTGGTACCGGATGGCCGGGTCTTAGTCGGCGGAAGCAACCCGCATGTTTACTATAACTTTACCTGCGTCGAGTACCCGACGGATCTTAGTCTGGAGGCCTTTTCTCCTCCGTATATGTCGGTGGAATACGAACTGGTTCGGCCGAGAATCGTTTCGGTAAAAGAGGTTTTGGGATACCGGCAGTTCTTTTCGGTTGCGTTCGCCGTGCCCGAGTTGTTGTCTGTGAGTGTATTGTCAGTGAGGCTGGTTGCGCCGTCGTTTACGACACACTCGTTCGCCATGAATCAGAGAATGATTGTGATGAAGCTGATCGGAGTGACGCGCGTGGCGCCGGAGACGTATGAGATTAGCTTGGTGGGGCCCTCGACGGGAGAGATTGCGCCGCCGGGTTATTATTTGCTGTTTGTGGTGCACGCTGACATCCCGAGTTCTGCTGCGTGGGTGAAGTTGCAGTGAAGGAAATGCCGACCAACATCTGAGGGACGTGCATGATAATACTTCAATTCTAACGGTCAATAAAAGTACTGAATAAAATGTACATAAAAATAAATAGTGAAACAGAATGGTCTTGGTGATAGTTTGGTCTTCTCTGGACTGGGCTTTTATATTTTCAGTCTCTTGCAGGCTGCAGCTGCTTCTTTTATGGCCCACAAACAATTTCTTTTTAAAATTATTTTGACGTCCATTTTCAAAAGCGCGTAAAAACACCCTCGAAAAATCTGAGCACCTTCTATGACGTCGGCGCCATTGCCACGTAGGTCGTAATCCTTTGACACAAATGCCACTGTCGTCACGGTGGCGTAATCGCAATGGAGCGTTTACTAATCCGCTCTCAATCACGTACCGTGGGAAAGGGCCCATGTCGTAATTTCAACAAAGACCACGCCCATATAGTTACCGGCCAATATATTATAACCACTGCCTTTAGTTTTCCCTCCGAGAACGCCCTCCTCTGACCTCAAAGACCAAACCAACCAAACAGAAAAATTGAGAGAGAAAGTGAGGGAAAGTGAAAGAAAACAGAGAGAGAGAGAGAGAGAGCAAAAAAATTAAAAAAACCTGATAACCTTACCGCTGCTGACTGACAAATTAGAGAGAAGAGAGGCGGAGAGAGATGAAGCACATTTTTAAGAAGCTTCACATAGGAAGCAACCACGACCCCAGCCGATCGAACGAGCCCTCGACCTCCGTAGCGTCGCCATCATGCGCGGCAGATCACCGTACAGTTTCCGGTCAGACATCTGGAAACCCTCCGGGGAGTCCTCCATCGTCCTCGCCGACGCCGGCGAGCACTGTACAAACTCCCGGAGCTGCCACTGTGGACTCGACGACGACTGTGACTCGGCCAGACTATATGATGTCGGAGGAGGATTTTCAGGTCCAGCTCGCCCTAGCGATCAGCGCCTCCAATTCGGACTTTCGCGATGATCCGGAGAAGGATCAGATCCGTGCGGCGACGCTGCTGAGCTTGGGCGGCCATCAGATCGATTCGTCGAGAGATAAGGTTGACGCGGCAGCTGCCGAGACCTTGTCGAGGCACTATTGGGTTAGTTTGGTGAAATATTTTTTGTTCTAATTCAGTAAGTTCTGATCAATTATGTAGAATTTGCGTTTAATTTGGGATTATTGACGATCAGGGCAAGCAAATTTTACTGTTAATTGAGTTTGACTATTGTCGTACGGTTGACTGTTTGGAGTTTGCTCAATTCACTGTTATGTTAAGCAAGTATCTGGTTCGTTGAAGTATAAGAATCCTGCTAGTAGCTCAGTAGTGAATTCGAGCATGTTCTGTAATTCCTGGTGTTTTAATAGGCTGGATTTTCTTTTGATGAGTTTTATTTTGGAATGATCAGCTTACTGCTGAAATCGGTGGAGCTCAGCTTTTTTTACTCTCGTCTTGAGTCTTGGATTATAAATGTTCGAATTTTATTTAGGAAAGAGTATTAATGAGAGCCTTCTGACAATGCCATGATATGTTAAGGTGCTCAACACTAAGGATTTCATCGACATTCTAAAAGTTTTATCGAGTAAAATAGGAAAATCTGCCATTAATTGATCAGGAGTAGATTTTGTCGATCAGGGAAATTTTTAGTAACATTTAACCATCTTTTTAGAACAGATACCGTACTTTATTTAATTTTTATGATTTGCTTGTATGTGCTACTATCAAGAAACCTTTTTTTTACTTCTTCATTTGTCTTGATTTGGATTGAATTCTCTTGTTCATCACCAGGAGTGTAATGTGCTGGACTATGAGGAGAAAGTGGTTGATGGATTTTATGATGTATATGGACTTTCCACAGATTCAGCAATTCAAGGAAAAATGCCTTCTCTTACAAATCTCGAAACAAACCTTGGGAGTTCTGGATTTGAAGTTTCATTAGTAAACCGAACAGTTGATCCTGCCTTGGGAGAGTTAGTGCAAATTGCACAGTGTGTTGCATTAGACTGTCCTGTCACCAACGTTAGTGTTTTGGTACAGAGGCTTGCTGAACTCGTTAGTGGACACATGGGTGGGCCTGTAAAGGATGCTAATATCATGTTAGCGAGGTGGATGGAAAGAAGCAGAGAGTTGAGGACATCTCAGCAAACAAGTGTATTGCCTATTGGGTCCATAACCATTGGCCTCTCCAGACATCGTGCTTTGCTTTTCAAGGTTAGGTGTTGGATTATCATTTATTAATCTTTTTAGGCAATACTTTTTCGTCTTTCTTGGTTTCTTTTGGCTGCCCCTTATACTGAAAATTTAGGCCATTTTGATATGTGCTATGCTACTGTATTGTACAACCGTTTCATTTCTTTTTCATGATAGAATTTAAACATATATGTCTTCATGATAGAATTTAAACTTTTGTGTGTGTGTGTGTGTGTGTGGTCATTCTCTACACAGAGAGATAGATTTAGAAAACAATGTTTTGTCAGATATCTAATAATTGGCAAATCAATCAGTGAATTCACAAACAGGAGCATATATATATATGCATTTTTTTGTTTGTTTGTTTGTCTGTGCTTACAGGAAATATGGAACTATAGATTGGTATAGTTCTTTGAATTCTGTAATTTGACTTGTCACTTGGGATGTATGTAACCAACTTCTCTCACATATCCCGCTGAGTAGTTATATTTTGTAGTTAAATGCGAGGAGGAACCTTATGAGGGTTAGTTAGTGATCTTACCATTTACAAAGTTCTAGTAAATGAAGTTGGGGCTACGTAATCTTGTATATTTAATCTGTTTCTTCGGATGTAGGTATTAGCTGACAATATCAAGATGCCCTGCAGACTGCTTAAGGGTATTCATTACACTGGTGTTGAGGATGGTGCTGTTAATGTAATAAAGTTGGAGGATGACAGGTTGTGGTTTATGCTTTTTTTCTTCCAGGTTTTGTGGTTAAATTGTTGATACATTTTTGTATGATGTGTTGTGTTTTCACTTTTATTATTTTGGCGTGTGCACATTTTTTTAGAGTCCACAAATCTTTATGCCAAGGTTGCTCTAAAATTTGTACTGTGAATTCAATTTTATTCCAAAATTTCTACCAATCTCCAAAACTTTATCAGTTTTGACTGATTAAAGCTAACTTCAAGCCATCACAATAGCTTCATAATGTGCATTGACATAAGATATTGTGTCCTCTTGCTATTAATTTTGATTGTGTTTCTATAGCATTAGATTTCTTTTGTCCTTTAAGTTCAGCGGCAGTCTCCTTGAAATGTATGTATGCAGATGTAAAAATGCATGAAGTCTCCAACAGTTCCCAAATTGATCTGTTTACCCTTCTACGTGGTTTTAATTTATAGTTTGTCTTCAGGGAGTTTCTGGTTGATCTCATGGCTGATCCTGGAACGCTCGTACCAACTGATATTCCAAGTGCAAAGGACACTGCCTTTCAGCCATACCATCCAAACTCAAGCAAAAATCCTACTGTCCATTCTTATATCGATACAGAAGTTGCATACTCAGGACCAAAGCCATTGCATGGAGAGGGTAGCAGCCAAAACTCTGCAGCTGAAAGCAGTTTAGCGTTGGAGAGAAGACCAATTTCAGAGAATATAGAATCATTGCCTACATTCCCGGGTGCAAGTAGTGACACTGGAGTTGGTTCTTCTAGAATACCCAATAGAGGGACTCAGTTAGATCATCTTCCCTCATCAGCCTTCGAAAATTACAGAGGGAGTCGTGGGGCACATGCAGTTGAAGGTGTGACAAGGATGAATGTAAATGTAGTTCCATATACTCAAAACAACTCGGAGGACTCAAAGAACCTATTTGCCGATCTTAACCCATTCCAAATCAAAGGACCTGGGAAAGCTTCTATGTATAACAAACCTGTGGAGAACAAAGTTGAAGAGCTTCAGAGACAGAGAAATAATGTTGCCTCTGGTCGACCTCCTGCATCATTAATGTGGAAAAATAAATATGCTTTCAATGAAGTCCCTAAAAGAAAGGAGAATGATAATTACATGGATGGTATCTTCCCAAGAGTTAATCGCGAACCTAATGGGTATAATCCATCATCTGCAGCTTCCACCAGCTCTACTGTATCTGAACAGATCAATCCTGGTGGTTTCAAATCAACTGCTCATTCAAATATGTCAGATAGAGATGGCGATGCCAAAAATTATAGGGGGGAACAACCCAGGGCTAAAGGTTATTTACAGAATGGCGCAATAGATGTTAATGAACATCAGAACAATGAAATTGGCTTCCATGATCCTAGAAAGTTCACGCATGACAGATTTATGGAGACCAATCTGAAACTGAAGGATCCAGAAAGTTCTAGCTCATCTTTTGATTCCATTTCGAGCAGGGTTGATCAAGTATTTGATGATGTTGATGTAAGTGAAAGTGAAATTCCGTGGGAAGATCTGGTTATTGGAGAAAGGATTGGACTAGGTAATGTCCATACCTGGTCAAAGTTGCCTATATTGTCTGGAAAACTGCCAGTGTTCAATCCTCACACAGCTATAAACTTATTTTTCCTGGGGAGCTGACTAATTTTTTTTTCTTGTTGTCTTGACTAGGTTCATATGGAGAGGTATACCATGCTGATTGGAATGGCACGGTGAGTTTTACATAAACGACTATGCTCTTTCTTATCTCATATGTGGCAAAAACTGTTATGTTTATTTGATCTTTTATTATTATTCTCCTTATGGATTTTGAATACCTAGTGCCCTCTCTTTTCAATTTTTTTCCTGATCATCTTCATTGACTAGCACTGCTAAATTGTTTATAGCGATATAACTTATTAAATCAGTATATGTGATTCACAAGTAATTGATAAATGACATGCAAATTAGCACCATTAGGTGTATGGGGGATTTTAAAGGGGTTGCCTATCATTGTCAATGCACTGATGGCACTATAGAAGTTGCTTTTTTGTTTACTGTGAAGCAGGTTTATATTTATACAGTGTATGGTTAGGGATTTTAATCAAAGATTTCCTATATTCAAAACAATTTCAGTGTTCTTTAAAGTTAGCTAAGATTTGTAATTTATAACTGTGTCTCTACTGTCATTATTTCGTGGTGGATTCTGCTTTGTCACTACTGCCTGGAACTATGCATGTACTTAATTCATTGCCAGAGGCTTGAAAGTGTTTTTAACTTTAATTTCATGGGAATTAAATTCAACTGGGGACTTTAATTTTGGCTGGTGAATTGTTGTTGAGTTACAGGAAGTTGCTGTGAAGAAGTTCCTAGACCAGGATTTCTCAGGTGCTGCTTTGGCTGAGTTCAAAAGAGAAGTAAATTTCTAGTCCCTTATGTGCATATGCTGCACTTTTTAGCTTCCAAGACTTCGAGGAAAAGGGGAAAAGGAAAATAAATTACAACCTGATGATAATTATTGTGATCTTTGTTTTGCAATGTAAGGTGCGAATAATGCGTAAACTGCGTCATCCAAACGTTGTGCTTTTTATGGGTGCTGTTACACGTCCTCCTAACCTCTCTATCATTACAGAGTTCCTTCCAAGGTATAATTCTGCACATTGATCATTGTGAAAAGATTATATATCGACCACAACATGTATACATATTCTATTTTTCATCTCTCTGTTGTAACTGGTCCACTCATACTTTATTTCCCCAGGGGAAGCCTATATCGGATTATCCATCGCCCTCATTGCCAAATTGATGAGAAACGTAGAATAAAGATGGCTCTTGATGTGGTATGAGATGATCTTCCCTGTGTTCTCTGGAACCAGCATGATACATCAATATCCACTTTAAGCTCTCTTTTTATTTTGCAGGCAAGGGGTATGAATTGCTTGCATGCCAGCACACCCACAATTGTTCACCGGGATTTGAAATCTCCAAATCTGTTGGTTGATAAGAACTGGAATGTGAAGGTATCACATTCCTTTTTTTAGTGTTGTTTCTCTTCTTTCTTGTGGATAATGAGATGCCTTGGCCATCTGATTAGTAGTTCTTTGAGATATGCATTATACTTTTTACAAAACTGGATCTCAATTATACAGGTCGGTGATTTTGGATTGTCACGCTTGAAACATAATACTTTCTTGTCATCCAAATCAACTGCTGGAACGGTGAGAATCTGGGATTATTATTTTTTATTTTTTATTTTTTTAATAAATTGGTTTTCTGTTGGCAATGAGAAATATGACCACAATTCTTAATCTAACTCTGTCACCTTTTCTTCATTTGCCTGATTGTTTCCATCGATGAGCTAGCCTGAGTGGATGGCGCCGGAAGTTCTCCGCAATGAAAACTCAAATGAAAAGTGAGTAGTAATTCTTGTTATTATGTTTCTGTTTCTCTTCTTTCAGCTTTGTGGCTTGTTCCAACTATATTAGTGTGGAGAAAATATACAGATTAAAGATTCTCTGAAATCTTGTGTTAAATATATAGGTGTGATGTATATAGCTTTGGAGTCATTTTGTGGGAGCTTGCTACTCTAAAATTGCCTTGGAGTGGGATGAACCCGATGCAAGTTGTAGGTGCAGTTGGTTTTCAGAATCGTCGCCTTGAGATACCTAAGGAACTGGATCCCCTTGTTGCAAGGATAATATTGGAATGTTGGCAGACGTAAGTTGCAGAAAGTTTAGAACACATACATATTTTTTACTTGTTGAATCCAGTTTAATCGGTTGTTCTTTCTTTCCGGTTAGCGATCCAAACTTGCGTCCCTCGTTTTCAGAGCTCACGGTAGCTCTCAAGCCTTTGCAGCGGCTTGTCATTCCATCGAATCTTGACCACCCAAGCTCGCATTTACGGCAAGAAATCTCAGTAAATTCCACACCTTGAAAAGCCTCTCTCCCAAGCCCAACTGTGAATAAGAAGACATTCCGGTTCTGTGCTTTTGAGTTAGGATAGGATAAAAAACTCTCAAACGAAAAATCAGAAAGAGTGAGAATGGAGAGAGAGAAAAAAAGCATGTACCTCAATTGTATTATTTAATGCATGCCCAGCTACTGTTGCCCAAAGATCGCAGCAGGGTCCTTTTTGTACAGAATTCATAGTAAAGTTCTCAAAGAAAACTGGATTTGTAATTTATGTGTTAATAATACCTCCAGCCATCCAGATAAATTAATACAAAGCTTTGTGTTATTCTTATCTATTTTCTGGGTTACATAGAAATATTTTATTTAGAAACCCTCTTTAATAAATCTAGCCGTTTCTAATAACCTCTGAAGCTTTATTTTCTGCCAAGGCCGACCTTCTTCCCTATCCAAACATTTCAGCTCCTTAAACACACACGGCCAACTTCACAGCCTCTGTTACCGGCGCCAAGCATACTCAATTTCCTCCCCACCGCCGTTCATCTTTCCCAGTTCCAGGCATTGATCGGGCATTGATCCAATCCGACGTTCGTTAATGCGAATGGCTCTATACCAAGAGTGCGATGCAATCATTTCCCCAATGAACTCCACAGCATCATCTCTGTTGGCTTGGCATAAGTATTCCATCTACAATTAATGTCAAGTCGCATTATCATCCCATTTTGCCCATGCAGTAAAATGGTCAACGTCGGAGATTTCGAAGGGCCGGAGACTGACCTGTAGTAGTAGAGGCTTCAACTTGCTCTCCATTGCTCACATTTGAACGAATTTCAAAAGTTCATAGAGACCACAATTTTGAATTATACTGGCTAGTTTCTTGGACTACGTACAACTTTTGTTTTTCTCGCTTCAGTTATCAAGCCTCTTGGAAATAATATGGTATCTAGCATAAGAGGGTAAATATCGCATATTGCTTGGGGCCGTGAGAAAATAATTTTTCACATGAAAACAATACCACTCATGAGCTTACATTGAGGAGAAAATAAACAAAATTAACTACATAACATACATGCAAATTATAACACTGCAACTTCTGTTGATAGAAAACTATAAACAACCAAATCCTTAATATTTCCCTTAAGATATCCATATTTCCTCAACACACCCTCCCTTTGGAACCCAGATTTCTCTAAAACCCTCTGGGAGGCCTTGTTCTCTACATCAGCAAAAGCCTGCAACCTCACCAAAATAGGGAAGTCATTGAAAACTTGAGACACCGCAATCTTAACTGCTTTGGTGGTAATCCCTTGCCCCCAGTACTTTGCAGCTATTGCATATCCCAAGTCTGCCTTGTACCTGTCATCACCTGATCCTGGAAAAATGGTTACAAACCCGATCGAACGGTCATCGATGCATATCGCCCGGCGCCAAGGGTGGGGGATACAAACATCCTTGATGAAAGTCAAAGCCTCATCTCTGGTTGTCAAAGTCTTCCATCGGAGGGACCGAGTCACTTGATCATCGCCTGCGTATGACATGAGATCATCAACGTCAGATAGCCTGAATGGACGGAGAGTGATCATTTTTGACAAATTGGTCTCCATGAAAAGTATGCTAATGACTATGGCAAACACCAACTCCAATGAGTTATGAGCGCCTATAAATATATTTTATCTAAAATCATGAAAGGCTTTGGAATACGAATGTATCTTCTTGTCTTGCCAAGTATAGTTGGCTAGAGCGGATGTGCTCCCCACTATGCACCCAATTTCGAATCTCCTTTTCCGTAGTTCGGATTAGTTTAAAGTAGATTATAGCTTGTACAATAAAGAAAGTGTTTTAGTTGCTACAAAGTCTTACCATCTTTAATAAATTAACTTATCAGCTCATCTTGTTTGAGGAAACCAACCACTACAGTCTACAGATACATTAAACAGCATTTTGAGGTGAGATGCAACTTACAAGGTTGGCTTTAGGGATAAACCAAAGTCGATTGGAGAAAAAAGGGCAAATCATAACAAACGTATTTTTGAAAAGGACATTATTGTAAATGCAGAGCGTAGAGGCATTTAGCATACAAGGCCAATAATTCCATTGCATTGACTCTGGGATCATTAGGTTAATTAATCTAATCTGTTGAGAGAAAACTATAGACAACCATATCCTTAATACTTCCCTTAAAATAAAGATATTTCCTCAACACACCCTCCCTCTGAAACCCAGCTTTCTCTAAAACCCTCTGAGAGGCCTTATTCTCTACATCCACAAAAGACTGCAGCCTCAACAAATCAGGGTAGTCTTTGAAAACTTGAGACAGGGCCATCTTAACTGCCTTGGTGGTTATGCCTTGGCTCCAGTACTTTGCAGCTATAGCATACCCCATGTCTGCCCTGTACCTATCATTGTCTGATCCTGGATACATGCTCACGAACCCGATAGAACGGTCATCGATGCATATTGACCGGCGCCAAGGGTGGGGGATGCAAACATCCTTTATGAAAGTCAACGCCTCATCTCTGGTTGTCAACTTTTTCCAGCCCCGGAGGACACGCGTCACTTGCTCATCGCCCCCGTATGTGATGAGATCATCAGCGTCGGATAGCCTGAATGGACGGAGAGTGATCGTTTTTGACAAGTTGGTCTCCATAACGAACAACCGGAGTATTACTAGCTAGTGCAAATAGAAATGGTAAACACTAACTGTTATGAGCAACAACACCTGGGTCATGGACCATGGTGACAGGCAATAATATATAATGCATTGTCACATGGCAGTGGCACTGAGCTTGTTGGATTGGATATGTATATACAATATTATTAATTGAGTGTTTTAACATATGCTGGTCTTATCAAGTTTTTCTTAGTGTAATATATAAGAAGGAGATTCGAATTTGAGGCAAGTTCAATACGGTGACCAACGGACTTAATCAATGTCAATGTCATATGTGTCCAGGTTTTTCTTTCTACAAAGCCTTCCTATCCTAATAAATTGACATACCAATGGCAACTTGGGAGATAATTAACATAACTTTGAGATGACATGCCACTTGTGAGGTCATCATTAGGGATACATTAAAATTGATTGGGGACTAAGAAAATAAAATAAAAATGTCATATTTTGTGAGACATTGACATTGGAAATATTCATCAATTAATTATTTTAACCAGATGGACTAACCATTAAACTAAAACTAAAACTTGAGACTGGAATTGACAAGGGCTGCTGAGGGAACGTGAAAAGGGAATAAATCTCTCTTTTTAATCACAAAACGCAGACAGTACAAAGCAAAACGCTTTCAATTTAATAAAATAACAAAAATGTTGACTTGAAACTGAAGGGCGATATAGACTGTCCACACTTGGTTTTTGGCTTTTACTTTTAATTGAAAAATGTGAAAGAGTTACCCATCCCGACCTTAGCTCAGTTGGTAGAGCGGAGGACTGTAGTTGGTATAACCATCAGATATCCTTAGGTCGCTGGTTCGAATCCGGCAGGTCGGATTTCTTTTTTATTTTTTTTAATGTGAGAGAATCGAATTTGTCATTTCCAAATTAGAAATTCACAAAAGTATTGATTGATTTTATGAAATTGAAAACTCTGCAAGTTTATATTTGAGAGCTAAGACTGAAACCGATCTTTCTGTGGCTTTGCAGAGATATCAAGCGAAGAAGCTATAGAAGAGAAACTGCTAAACGTCCTGCATAGAAAGAAGGTTTCTGGGGGAAGAAGCAGTAGGCCTTTTTTGAATGCTGAACTATAAAGACGTTTCAATTTAACACAACGATTGTATTTTCAACCAAAGTGATGGAAAATCAAAGATTCAATTTAAGAACCAAGAGCATAGCATTTCCAAGATAATGACTAGTGTACTGAAAAGTCTTAAATAATAACATGACAAGCCAAGCTACCGTCATGGCAATGAAACAGAGTTCAGTTGCCCCCCGAATACGGAACAGATTGGAAAATCGCATCAAAGTTGTAAAATTGTACTTTCATGCATTCTCTAATCAAATTTCTTCAACCTCAGTTTCATTCCAATTTATTGTTTAAACAAAATGTTAAGCCAATCTGGTCCAAGCAAGCAGAATAGGATCATTAAGAGGCCAGCCAACTTGCTAAGCAAACCAAAATAAATCAAAGGCTCCAAAAACTGCAAATTGATTCTTCGAGGGCATCTCTCCATGTACAGGATGGAAGTGAAGGTTTTTCTTCTTGTTTTATTCTTGGATCGCTTCAATCCTTTCCACAGCACCTTCATAACAAATAATACATAGACCAATAAGCTTATCAATCTGAAAACTCATGCATATAAATCACGTAAGAAGGATTATGAAGCTCAGTTCTGCCGAGTCTTGGTAAAAGCATGTAAGGCCAAAGTACCGTTTGTATCTCTTCTTGGAACCACATGGACAGAGCGCATTCCTACTTATTTGCCCACTCTTAGCCAAATTAGACTTGGCAAGGTCAAATGGCGTTGAACCCATCAATTTTTGCACCTGCGGAACAGAAATTTTCAGTTAATAATGAGATTTCCATGTTTCAATTTCATGGAAATATCCAGGAAATCAAATTTGCATTTTTTAACCGTAACTAATGGGCATTACCACTTGCTCTATCCACTACTCATAGGGTGACTGTGATACAGTTCCTTTTTGATAAGTTGCAAAAGCAAGGTTTCCTACAATCCTAAACTATAATCAGAATTTTGTTTTCCATGGATGTTAATGGAAAAAAGTGTATCCAAACAAACCAAGGGTCTTCATAAGCAATATGCCACAAATTGCCCCTATTATCACCAAACCCCCTGATTTTCTTTATCAGTGCCTACAAGACTTACAGCCAACAGGCATAACACGAATTTAGGTCATGTAATGAAAGCAACTCACATGCTTCCACTAAAATATTAGTTCATCTTAAAGGAAGCAATCACACGCACACACTTAAACTCCGGCTTTGAAACTTTCCAATAAGTAGGCATCTGCAAAGAGAGATGAATCTGACCTCAACAAGAAATTCAGGCACTTAGCCAACCAAACGGACGCCGCTGTACTATAAAGTCTCCCCAAAGACAACAAAACAAGCAAAGACACAGTGATTTCAGAAGCCATAAGACATTCTACAGTGGACATCCAATTTCTGCATGTGGTATACGGTCACTAAGGTTTATGCATATGCAGTGAATTTTCACCAACCAGAAAAGCGTAAAGAAAGTGAAATTTGAGAAATAATACCTCGTTAATGTTCTTTGGCATTGGTTTCCCTTCTTTCTGTAAGTTTTCCATCTTCTTTTGTGCTTCTCTAGCCCATGTGAACTTTGCAAGTGCATTCTCAACATCAGCAATCGTGCAATTACAATGCTTTGCTGCTTCTTGTTTTTGAGTGACATTGAGATTCTACAAATCAAAAGACCTAAAACCATAATCAAGAGACTTAACCAGACACAATTGAAAAGCATACGCCTAGTATAGATGTTTTTAAATTCCAAATCACAAATACTTTGGACTGCATCCATTGGACTATGAAGTTTCCTTCAGCTTCATAGCTCAATTTTCTGTAGGGCCAGTATTGGCAGTTTGGAGGACAAATCCTCGGGTTTGAAAAATTGGCCAAGAGTATGGAAAAATAAAGCGGAATTATAAAGATAGGATTAAATCCTCTGAGATATCGGATTAGGGCTTCCTTTTTTAAAATTAAAAAGGGAAAACCAACCTCTCCAGTGGAATCAAATCCTCCAAGATATCGGATTATGGCTTCCTGTTTCTCAAAAGCATCGGCAAAAGTAGCTTCACTGCTTCTCCCCACAATATATTGCTTGAATGCCCCAATTCTTCTAGCATTCTTCATCTCATCCGCAAATCCTAGAATCAATCCAACAAATAAATAGTGTCGTTACTAGAACCCATGAACTCCCAACCAATTTCTTAAATTTATATAAAAGTTAATTACATAAAAAAAGAAAGTTAAATCAAATGCTGGAACTAAAAGGCCCATGAAAATGAGCAAAACCCGAAAGGGAAAAAAAGTCCAAAACAGATGTTCTGCTTCGGAATGAAATGGGTTTGATCGATAGTCTAAAAAGGTTAACCAGATCAATAGCCAATCATCAAGAACACCTAAGGTTATAGGAAATACATGCAAAATCTAAATGAGATAACGGCCAAAGTTCATATTCTTCTTTAAAATATCAATTGGGTTTTACCACGAGCTTGAAAGTTTCGAGCACATAAACAACTAATCGATAACAAAATTTAAATTACAAAAATTTAAAAATCGAAGTTAAGAAGCTAAAGTGGCATACGAAGCAGGGTAAATGATTCAGGGCCAGAGCCTGGCTTGGTTTCATCTGAAGAGGTCTTATTGCCGGTGAAGACCCCTTTGATCTTGTTCACCCATGAGTTATCTAGGTGCGTCGTGGAGAAGATCGAGCGGCAAAATAATGGAGCAAGATGACAGTCATTGTAAGAATAGCCAGTGAAAGATAACAGCAAGTTTGAGTTTTTCTTGCATAATGTGTTGCTTAGGATTCGTGAAGAATGATGCATTCTGGAAATTTTTCCCCTTTTTGGTCTCTGTTTTTTCTCTTTTCTTAGGATTTAGGGTTTTAGTAGATACGGGGTTTTGGGAACAGAGACGAGTAGAGTGTAAAATCCTCCTGACGTCGTCGTTTGACCAGGACCGGGCCAATTAAAAGACTTTACCAGTGTATTATCAGGTTGTTAACGCTTGCTGCTTGCTAATTGCTATTTTTTTGGGCCAATTTATTTTACTTCTGGAAGTGTTATTCAAACTCCAAAAACGTAATCTTCACGGAGTGCTCTAGAAAATAAATTGTGAGACAAAATTGAAGGTCTGTCTTAATCCATTGCAAGTGTTATCAGAATCTTCCGAATCTTGCAACCTATTTAACAAGTAATGGAAAATAATGAATCGCTTATATAAATTCATGTGTTGTCAGAATCTTACAAGTTACCCTTTTATCCATTCAAGAATACAAAGCAGGGCTCAGCCTCCTGCACAAACTGATGATCCATAAGTAAACCCCGATCTACCACTCTTAGAAATACAATCATCAATAGGAGGTCAATGGCTTGATATACAAAGGAACGGTGGCCAAGTTATCAAACTAATACAACACGAGCACTGCAGCCACCCACTGCTTCACATCCTGCATCTAAATTAAGGTCGAAAGACAGTAAAAAATGAATAAATTCTGCCACTCTAAGCCTTGGACCGCCTAAACTCAAACCAGATTTCATAGTGATTAAAAAGCAAGCTATCATGTGTATGCTTTCCAATGTACTCCAGGCCCAAACTCTTAAGCTGCTTTGTACATTCGTCTCCTCCCAATCGCGAACAGAACTTAATATTATGGGACACGAAGATTCGCCCATCAAAAGGTTTCAATTTATTTGTCAATCTCTCTAATCCAACCCAGACAAGCTTATCAGGCATATGAAGAAACACTGCACTAGCATAGATCAAGTCATAGACAACTTCTGAACCAAATCTGCTGAAGTCCATGCTGTCGCCTTTCACAATCAAAGGGCGCTTGTGCAGAAGACCCTGGGAAGGAAGCTCATATCTAAAGGCAGCCATTAGTGATAGCTCATCTCTTTCAAGACAGTGGAAGTGTCCAGCATTAAGATAGCGAATGAAATGCAAACCGACTCGGAGGGTACCACAGCCAATCTCAAGGACATGTGAGTCAGGCTTCAGATGGGTGGACTGAGCGAGGAACTCAAAAACATCTCGCCCACCTGCCCAAGGCTCACCATAGTTACTGTGGTGCTCTTCAGTAAGGAGCTCACCAGGGCATGGGAGGGCGGTGTGGTTTTCCGATTCAGGTCCTTCATAGTGAGATATACCCTTGAATCTAAAAATCAGAAAATTTTGGTCAAATATTTGCAGGAAATCATCCATAAATTCACAGAACATGAAATGCACAACTTTCCAGTGAATCATTTAACAACAAACATGTGAACATGCTGCACAGAAAAGCACGAGGAGAAAAAGGTTCCCAACTAAGAGAATACTTCAATTAAAGAAATCACCAAATAACAAACATAACACATAGAAACACTTATCAAAACAAAAGAAATAGAAAAAATCACTTCAAAGACCTTCCATGTTCTATAAACCTAGAAAATGATCAAAAACTTCATCTTTTCCTTGTTCTCCCACCTAACCCTGTGGTTCACATAAACCAAACAGAGCACTATGGTACTTGTCAAACTCAACAACTAAAAGAAATAGTGTAAAGAAAATACAGAAATTTTAACCAACAATTTTGAATTAACCTTCACAGAATTAAACACAAATCAAACTTTACTGAGGTAATCCCATGTAAATCGAAGTTGAATGATCTAATCTCATATCTCTCACATCCTCCCTTGGACACAAATGCACATAAAGCATACGAACTGGTACTTAAAACTTAAAGTTGACAACTTTGAACCCAAGATTAGAGAGTTGATCCAAGTAAACTTAGAACCCAAGTTCATGCATTTTCTTGTATATGTTCACCCCCCTCCTCTTTCACATTCAAGAAAATATTAACCCTTTTCTAAACTCTTTTGAGGCAGAATTGTAGACCAAATCCCAATACCATCACAAAAACCAATTGAAGTCCCAAATCCCAAGCCCATTGCACGCATCCAAAATCCCCATTTCCAATCACACAAACAAATACAAATATAATAGACAAAGAGAGAGAGTACGGACTGCAAGAGATCTTGGAGCTGCTCAGCTCTGGTACGAGGGTTAATTCCTTTACGCAACACGTTATCCTGCATATGCAACCCATTCACTCGGATCTGATCCTTCACCCACTCCACATCCTCTTTCGACGACCATATTGACTCTCCTCCGCCCTCTGACACGCTGACACGTGTACCACCACCATCGCCGGCACGTGTTACACTTACATCGCCGCCGGTAGCAATAGCAGGAGCACCGCCGGCGTCGCGGCCACCACAAGAGCACGACGACGACAAAGAGGACAAGAGGAAGAAGAAGAAGATTGCGGCCACTGAGGCCGCCAGAACCAGCGCTGGCACTGTTATCACTATCCCCTTTGGTGACGATGTTGATGATGACGACGACCACAGAGCCATGTGATGTGTATGTATGTATGTCGTCAATTTACGCCAAGTCTTCAAGACTGAATTTTAGGTCTGCAGAAAACACTGGAAATTTTGGGACATTGATTTGGGGCCGACACTTACGATGTCGTTTCACGGGACACGAAGAGTTTTTATTTAACTTTTGGATTCAACCTTTCATGTGATTGGTGGTGGGGAGACTTGTGTCGTCTCTTCTCGGACGTTGTTTTGAGTAACATGCATGCTACGGTGTCGCATGGAATATGTTTAAAAAGTATAGCCGTGGGCATCAATCTGGCGGAATCGATTAAATTGGTCGATTTAATTCGTAATTATTAGTTTGGTTTGGTTTTGATTAAAAAAGAAAGTTAAATGGTTTAAAAAGTAAACCGAATTGTATATTTTTTTGTTTAGTTTAATTTTGAACTTTTATAAACTGACATAAACCGAACCGAATCGTCTATCTGCATATTTATTTATTTATATTTAATTTTACACTTGTAGTCCTCTAATTAGAAAATAACTAGATATGAATGTTGAATTGTAGCTATATTAGTTATTTATTGAAATTTGAAGTTTTATTGTAAGTTGAGTTTTAAGATGGTTTGATACCTTAGAAAATGAAAAAAAATATGTAGCAAGTTGTGAATTTATTGATTACAATTGGGCTAATAATGTTTAAAAAATACAAAAGAAAAGAGATTTGGACTTAGGCCCAAATCGGCAGAACTAAACCATTTTAAATTGGTTTGGTTTGGTTTGGTTTTTTTTTGTTGTAATTTTTGTCAAAATCAAACCGTTATAATGTAATTGGTTCGGCCGTGATTTTGAGGTGAAATTGATCCAATTCAGATTGTGCCCACCTCAAATAGCCGTGCGGCTATACTTTAAATATTCGAATATTATTTCATTTTATTTTAAAAATACATATTTAAACAATATAGCCGTGCGGCTGTGTTATTTAAAAGGAATTTTTGCCTTTTTTATGTGACAATTGTCATATTATTTTTGGGTTGAGGGCTAAAATACCACGTTAGTCCAATGTTATTTCTTCAATTATTTTATTTATACAAGTGAGATTGGAGAATGAGAATTTATATTCTTTTTGATACCTCTCATTCTAATGAGGTGGTTTTTCTCAATGCTAACTAATGAATCACAAATGGCAATGTGTTAGACAAGGCTCAGCTCATCAGTAGTATTAAAATATTCCAATATATTTAGAGAGAGTAGCCGGGGTGGCTATACTTTGTCTATACTATTAAGATATTTGTGTATTTTTAAAGAGTATAGCCGAACGGCTATACTTATAAGTATTCAAATATTTATATTTAACAGTATAGCCGAACGGCTGTATTATTTAAATTTTAAAAGCATGCTATTTTTCGGAGTTTTTGCGTTGTGCTTTAAATACCATGTTAGCCCAATGTTATTTCTTCAATTATTTTATTTATACAAACGACATTAAGAAAAGATAATTTAAATTCTTTCCGATACCTCCCATTCTAATAAGGTGGTTTTTCTCAGTGCTAACTAATGAATCACAAATGACAATGTATTAGACAAGACTCAGCTCATCAGTAGTATTATCAGCTTTTGTGTTTTCGCCATAATCTTGGCTAGAGTTATTTCTTCAATTATTTTATTTATACCAGCGATATTGGAAAATGAGAATTTAAATTCTTTCTGATACCTCCCCTTCTAATAATTTTCTTTAATTTAACATGTTATCTATCATATACACCAAACGGGCTACTTAGGTGGAATCATTTTAAAACAGTTGATTGAAATGAGATCAAGATTATTAGAATAGAATCAATGACCCAAAAATGATGAAATGAGTCGAAAAGTTACAAAATTCTGTAACAATTAATTGAACATAAATCAGCAAGCCTGGCCAAAGTCAGTGTATAAGGGATCGTGTAAACAAATAATTAACAGACCCCAGAGTAGTAACATACATAATCACACAACACTCTTGTCTTGTAAAAAAAAACTCTAACTATAAAGTATAAACCCAAAAACACGCACACACATATTATTTCTTACCATACCACATCTTATTCTTCCTCACAACTCAGACAGTTAGATTAGATCAGACATCCTTCTTCTATGACGACCAAGTGTAACTCTCAAGTTTGGATCAGATGAGGTGACCAACTTGCTTCGCGTCTTGGATGATTCCGAGACATTGCATTTCGGGCTCTCTGCAGGGAGAGTATCTGCTGCTTCCTGGGCATACCGTGATTTTCTGTTTGAGTTTTGTAAGATTGCTTTGATTTGAGGATCTGAGTAACTCATTGATTGTGAGGCTGTGAATTGGATTGAACTTCTGGCCAGAGACCTCAAACTTCTTGCTTTACCAACAACTTCTCTTTCTGCAGCACTTTGCCTTTGTCGACTAGCTGCAGTGGAAGTCATGAACCGAGGCAATGAATTTGAAACATTGCCTTTACTTGTTTTCTCCGGCTTTCGTGGCATTTCTACAGCTTCCTTCAGATATTCTTTGGGACTAATGGGGGCCTTCTCATCTTCTAAAGGTCCATAAGTGGTTGAGAAGAGCTTTCTGTTTTCGCGTAAAAGCAAATCGACCTTTTGTATCTGGTTTTTAAGTTTATGGCGTTCTTCTTCAGCTTCTCTCATGTCTTCTTCAAGTTCCTTGACCCTTTTCTCCCTGTGACTCTTCAAGTCCTAAAACAATGCAAACGGTTACGAAGATTCACAGCTAAGGGAACCAAACAATTACCAAGAAACTAAAGACAAGTACCTCTGATAATTCCCTATTACACTCTATAGCTCTAGCTCTCTTAGCGAAGCTCAAAGAACATATCGTCTCCCCAACATCTTCTTCACATGGGCTGACATGCACAAGCATCAAAACCTTCGAACCAGCACCTAAAGCATTTGGATTACCAAATAAATATTAAGCACTGTCAAGTCCAAATGGTGAAAAGGGTGTGAAAATCATGCGAATATGAGATCATTCTGCCCTGCTCACGGTAGCAATTGAAGGCACAAACTTAATGATTTGTGGTGGAGTCATTGCCGCATATTACATAACTAGAATAAGCTCATTTATACAGATTTTAAAATTAAAATTCTATGTTAATCAAATTAAATAACTCTGAATTGTCTGTATGTGTAAAGAAACTCAGTTCCATAACAAAATTCAAAGAATGTGGTAATCTACCTAAGGAATCTTTCAGGATTTGCGTAAGCTTGCTGTTCCTGCAACCAAAATTTTAAAGTCCATCAGATTCTAGTTGAATCAGCACGCAAAGAGAAAAACCTCAAAAGGCCTGTCTTAGAGGAGGTTATAACCAACAGTACAGATCCACTCACCAAGGGAAAAAATAAAAAGGCAAAGGGAAGAAGGCAACTAAAGCTGACAACCAACTTACCTGTAAGGCACATGGCCTCGCTTCCGTCTTAGAGCAGCAATGACATCACCCAAAGCTGAAAGAGAGAGATTTATGGCCCTTCCCTCATCAAGTGTTAGTCCAGTTGCTCCTGTTTTAAGCAACCGTTCACTTCCTCCAAGATCAACCATCCACAGTTTACCCACTTCCCTTTTAGCTTCCGAAGCATCCCCGTGCCGGAACATGGTTATCCTCGTTAAGCTAGATATATGAAGCTAAAAAGATAACGTAATTATCGACCAAAATTAATCCAATGGAAAATTGTGAAAAATCTAACTAGACCTGGAACCCACCAGTGAGACCGGCTAGATGCCTCATTTACATTAGTCCAAGAAGTAGATCTAACTCTCCTCCCCCTATTATACCACCATCTAGCTTTAGCAAAATCAACGATTTGCACTTCCGTAAGACCCTCGATTTCCACTAATCCCTTTGGATCTGTTTGAATGTTGAGATTGCTGTAGTAAAGTTAGCCAAACCAAAGTAAGCAGTCTAATAAATGGCCTGCAATTGTCGCCTCCTCTAATGAATTACTCAGGGCACTAAAATGAAAGTTTATTACCATCTTGTTACAGCTTCATGTGGCCTACAAGCTGGTTTTGGGGAGAGTAGATCTCTGAGACTGCCCATGTAAACTTCTAACATGCTCATTGAAAATGTGATATAAGATGAGCTATCCAAAGAGGCTTGACAGAAAAGCTCTTTGAGAGCTCGAGGAATTATTCCTGGATGCTCACTTGTGCCATCCTGCAGATGCATTCAAATCCATCCTTCACACATATTTGAAAAACAAATATATATCAACCAGATAAATGTACCAACCGCTGAATTTTAAGTTTCGATCACTCACCATGGTAAATGTCTTGCCAGTGCCAGTTTGACCATGAGCAAAAATACATACATTGTGCCCATCAAGTGCAGATCTGAGAATTGGTTTCACCTCAGCAAATACATCTTCTACAGAATTTGGAAACATGATAGAGTCTCTCTTACTACAACTGAAACAATTAATTAACAAATAATCAAACTTGTAAAACAAGCATATATCTTTTTTTTAACACTAACCTTGGCTGGTTTCTTGAGGAAAAACCTTATCAAAGTCAAATCCTTTTCTTGTTCCAGCTGACTTAACCACAATCTTCTCCGATCCAGCTGAAATGGGTTCTCTGATTCTTCTCTTGTCCATCAGTAGAAATGGTCGGACCCGACAAAACACTCGAATGCTGCCTGAACATTCACTTCACTTAATACAATAAAACATAAAAGCGTTACAGGTAAATTTATGATTAACCACACAACCTTTGATGTCTATAATCTTATTCAAAGCTTCTCTCCGTTTCTCATCCCACAACCTCTGCCTCAGCTTCAACTGTGAGATTTCACCTACAAACCCAATTGGCCCCAAGATCATATCAACTGCTTGGACTAAGACAGTGGCCTGATCACTAACTTGAAACTGAAACTCAAAAACTTTACCTTCAAGATTTGATATGGACTGCTGAAGCTCATTCTTTTCGTGCTCGGGGATGACATTGACATCAGTACAGATGGTGGGAAGAGGAGGTGAATCAGAAAAATAAGAAACTGGGGGAAGCCCATCAATGGAATCTGGGTTTGATTCCATGTGAGATGTTTGAAAGGACTCTTTTGCACTAACTGAAACCAGTGAGATCTGTTCATTTTCAGTTGAAATGAGCATTTCTCTCACAGAATATAACTGGCCCCTTGAAGAAAGATGAACTATTGGGGCAGAGGAAGAAAGAGATTTAACTATTCAACAGAGATAAAAAGAAAATGTCACAAAACCAAGATATTTATATGTAATATACGAAAAGACCTAGTAATTTTAGATTACTCTAAAACAAAGCAGTTCCTTCAATCAAGCACAACAAGAATTGTTTATGTCTGTAGAAAAGTTACAGTTTGGTACTAGAAGTAGACCAGTCTATGTTAATAAATGACCCAATAATGAAGAAACTGAAAGTCTATATAAATAAAGCACTTCCAACTTCCAAGTACAAGAAAAAGTTATACAGACAAAGTAAATGAGGGTCATAAATCTCTCATATTTAAAAGCAGCCAAATAGAAAACCTCAGATCATATTTGAAGTAGAAAATACTAAATTTTGCTCTGTTTAAAAAAACAGAGTAAAATAGAAATGGCAGAATTCAGCTAGAGAAGAACGAAAAGTCAAAAACTGAGCACAGATTTCGAAGAACCCGGAGGAAAAATGGAAACCCAGTTGGTGCAAGTTACTTTCAATGATTGAGTACTCTATAGGACCATGATTAGCAAGCAAGCAAGCAGGTGAGAGTTCTTGTTGCAGTTGTGAGGGTTACTAAGGTAAATTACACCCCCAAAAGAAAGAGAGAGAAAAAAAACAAACATGTTTTTTTATATTCTTGTTTTGGGTGGTCAAGATCTAAAACTGAACTGTTTAAAGTAGTTTTTTTTCCAGACAGGGTACAGGACAGAGGAGCGTGTGGAGCGGAGGGAAAACTTGCAGTGCTTCTACTGTTTACACCCATTACATTTAACATTACACCCCACCAAACTTTTGTTTTTTTTTCGTAAATCACCACACACCCCCCACCAAACTTAACTACTCCATTAGAGTTTATCCTCATTTATTTCTATTTTCAAAATTAATTTTTTTATTAATAAATAATTACAACTCAGTCCACTTTTTTTCGGCCCACAAATAAACCGGAATTTGGGCCTTGGGCTAATATAATATGTAGTTGGATTGGGGCTTTGGGTCTGAACTAGAACCGCATCAGCTATTGGTTACTGACTGAGGAAGGCCCATTGATATAGAATAGTATCAGACTTTGGTTTGTTAATCCTGCGTGTATTTATTTAGGGTGATTAGTTAAGAGCAACGCTACTTTTACCATATTTGTATACTACATCACTTTAAAAAATGTCAATAAATCATAAAAGAAAATAAAATGTTAAATTAATTTTAATTGATGTGTTGTCCATCTCATCTGCTATAAGAGTAGCATTATTCATTAGTTAATCAATTTCTTGAATATAATTTTTGTTATTTGTATGAGATGAAAATATATAATTTCCAAAAATACTGAATGATTTTTCACATGATTTAGTGTATTTTTTTTATATTTAGGCATTTTTAAATACATTATATCTAGTATTTTGAAGGTTTTTTTTAATAACCAACGTAATTTTATCATCCAAATTCAATATACAAGATGATCAAAGTTCAAATTTATTTGTCATAAATTCTTTTATCCACATGCAACTTAGAGTAGGAAGAGTTAAGAGGATAAGCCTTCATTCATAGTCTAATTTAACTTTACAAGGCTATTAAAGTATTTACTGTGGTCTTAGTCAAAAATAAATATCATATATAAATGATTTATGTAAGGGAGTAGCTTCTATTTAACATTTCCAATAATGCATTTTCTATTAATAAGAACAAATAATATTCGAAATTTGAATAATTAATAGTTGCCATCTCCGTTAGCACTTGGTATTCGCTTTCAGTGAGTTGACATTTGGCGGGGGGCAACGAAAAAAAAACTGCATAGTGGTCCAAGTCATGTGGCACGTTGGATGTCTCACCGGAATTTCCAGTTTGACCACCATGTATCGATGCCTACCACCTCACCTCATCAAACCTATTTTGAATATGTACACTATCCCTACTCTGAACGGGTGAGGAGGAGAGAAGAAAAGAAAAGGAAAAAGAAGACATATAAAATTACAAAACTACGCCTATTTTTAATGGGTGATAACTGGTATTTGTGAATTTACACGATATGACCGTTAGCTTAACGGATGGCTAACATGTCCACCAGTGACGGAGTCAAAAATTTTTTACAGAAGGAGCACCTCATATATTGAAATATATTTTTCTTTACAGTGACAGTTTAATTAATTTTTTACTTGAAACAAATTCATAAATTTAATTACTATACTCTATTATTTTACATATCACATTAACTATCTACTCATCATTGATTTTAGCAAAAGATATTGCATACACACAAATAAAATTCAAATGGTAATTTATTACTACAATTAAAGTCAAAATAAGACAAAAAAGAGAGTATGGGTAGTAATAATAGTGAAAAAAGGAAAGAAGAAAATCATGAAAGGCACTTTGAAGTTTGATAACAAAATATGTAATTGTGTTAAGAAACCCAAGGTCTTCAGAACATTGAGAGGGGGGCATAGAACCTCCCCTGGGCCTTAGCTCCCTCCGCCCCTGATGTCCACCTATTTTCAACACGACTCGTCTCCAACCTGAATAATGATTTTTTCATGTAAATTTCTTTTGTGTTAACAAGTTGTGTATAATATTGTCATGTATACATTAAACTAGCAAACATGTTTTTTTTATATAAATTTTAGTAAATCAGCCACAATTGGGATGACATGCCAAGTGTTAATTATCAACTCATTATATCAATTTAAATAAATATGGGACGTGTGCTGGTTCATCCTTACTTTTTTTAAAAAAATTTATTATTGGTTAGCTATTATCTTCTTAATCTCCAAATTTATTATAGGACATCCCAAATTCTGCATATATATATATATTCTAATGCAATCTCATGCAATTGGGGAGTAAACACACATAGATATATTTTCCAAAATGCTGCAAGAAACCCACCCCCAAAATATGATGTTTGTGTTCTAATATTCACTTAAAGGAAATGATTATATGACTGATACCCAAAAAAAAATATTGAAAAAAAAAAGAAGACACATGAAGTTAAACTTTGATTATTTTTATTAATGGAGGAGTGGGTTTTCGAAATTATGACATCTTTCAATATTAAAATGAGAAGGTTAAGATTTTAGTCATTTTAGAGTTGTGTGTAATTCTCTCTAAATCGATTCAACATGTTGTTGCGTTTGGTCATTGAAGAAGATTTATTCATATTATGCTCATAGTTGCTTTGTACTTTCGTTTGTTTATCAATAAAACTATCTTATTCTTTTTTTTTTTTTTTTTTTTTTTTTTTTTTTTTTTTTTGATGAGAAGCCAATTTCCTAGATTTGTTGACTTTATGATATAACTAAGGCCATCATGTCTTTGATTCGAGGATTGACATTGATCAAATTAATGTATTATTAGAAAATATATATATATATTAGGATGAGAAATATTACTATTGATTGACAAAAAAAATAAAGAAAGAGAAACACCACTATATTAAAAACTAGTTGATACTAAATAATTGATTGTTTAGCATGGATTAGAAAATTTAAATGCTTATAGTTGGAGGATGTATTACACATTATCCTATTTAGTGTATAAATTATTTATTTATTTATTAAGAGACAGGAAGAGGGTTTCTCACACATACACTATCAAGGTGTTATAATCAATGGCAAATCCATAATTTAATGTGTGGGGGCCTATTACAAATTATAAAGAATCAAAAATTCGAACTCACAATACATACAATATATATATATATATATCTTATATGTCAAGAATTATATTGTTTATTGGTTGCAATCATAATTGTCCTCAATAATGGGATAGACAAATACATTATGAGTAAGAAAAATTGCAAGAGGTAGACAAAGAGTAGCGATTTAGCAAATATCTTTAAAGCTTTTCTTCCCATTAAACCCAATAGAAAGAAAAAAAATTAAAATTTCACAAATTAAAAAAAAACCTTAGGTCCCTTAATGCATTCTTATCGTACATGAAAAAATGTTTTATGTAAAAAAACTAAGTATGAAAAATAGTTTTTTAGAATAATCATTTTCTCAAGATAATTTTTTGTGGCTTTTATTCACTATGCATCAAATAAGAAAACTTGATTTTATGAGATTTTAGTATAAAGTATATATTGACTTAATGAGCCATCATTTTTACCCTAAATCGTATTTTGCACTAAACCGATTTTTCATATTTTGATTTGGTGCGAATTTAATTTTCTAGTATTTTTATTTTAATTCAAATAGGGGGTACTTCTTTATTTACATTGTAAACTTAAGTAAATTGAGTAATATAAGAATAAATGAAAGTAAAAAGACAAAAAATTGAGTGGGGGTTGGGGACCACACTGGTCCCAGTGTGGCTCCGCCCTTGGTCATAATGGTTCGAACTTAAGACAACTAGTCTGTAAATCAAGATATTTTTTCACTCGGCTAGATTCCGTTGAGAGACAAACTTTTGTTTATATAAAAAAGAAAAATTATATAGTTTGACGTGCCGATAGTATTAAATTTTTGTGACACAATCAGTGCATATATTTTTAGAATGAAATTTACATAATTGCGCAAAAATATGAGGGAAAGTTTTCAATCGCACTCGCATATACCATTGGGGACCATTTTGTAATTCAACTATATCTCTCCATCGTCCCCAGCCGGCCCCACCCTAGGAACCAATTGCCAGCGAAACGAGTATCCAGCCACCCGCGTCTATCCGCGAGTATAGCCAAGTCCACGCTCAACGTAATTTATATAGTTATGCAAAAGGACAATATCACCCTCGATCAGAACCCCAAAAAACTGAGTCAAAGGACTCGGCCACATTAAAATCGAAACCCACACCCAAAGCAATTTCCACTCTTATATCGCAACTCAGGCAGTAGAAGAAGAAAACGAGCAAAGAGGAGGAGCTTCAAATTCTTCATTGGTTGATAAGGTCAGGGTTTTCACTTTGTTAATTTCACTCCGTTTCTTTTTCTGTATCTCCACGGTCTGGCTTTATTTTGTTGGATAAAATAAATTGATACGCATTTTTTTTTTCTTATATGGATTTTGTATAAAGTAGTGGAGTTGGTGATCTGATTGGTAAATACGAAATGATCAATGGGTTTGGATTTTGTATTTTCTTATTTTGTTGGTGTTTTGGGTTTATTCTCTCGACGAGGTTTTACGGAGCTTAAAACCTGTACTGGGTTAATCTATTTTAGTTAATCTGTTAGTGATTGATTCTGTGATTGTTGGAATATTTTGAATAGATAGACGGGTTGCACGAAATTTTGAGATACAGCCACATTTTTTAGGCAAATCAAAGTTGCAATTGGATAGTTAAAAAGGCGCTACTGAAAGCTTTTTGACTAAAACCTTTAGCAATTTCTCTGGGTGGTCAGCAATGATTTCACAGTTGTTGGTCGGATACATGTATCTATAGTGCGTTTTGATTATACATCAGTTGTGGGTTTCTGGGTACTGGGGGAGTTTATGAGGTTGTGTGGTGTTTGTTGCTGTGTGGTTTATAGGGCTAAGAAGTGTCACTGTTTCATCTGTTATGCTTAAGAGGCTATGTTTTAGTTGACATTTAGAAGCTTATCTACTGATCGAGAAGAGAGAGGGAGAGAGAGAGAAAAAAGAAAAAAGCATTCAGACCCTATGCTACAGGGTTTGTATTTACTCATTGGTACAAAAATCAGTATTAAGTTCTGCATTTTGGTTTCAAAGGCTGAATATATGTTGTTATATATATAAATATGTATGTACAAAACAATTATATTCCATCTGATATTAACAAACATTTTTCTATTTCTTTCATGTAAGTGTATTGATTTCTTTTAATTATAGTTGCTTTAGGTATTGATTTCATTTGAGAGGTGATTACATGATAAAATATTCCTTAACATTTGAAGAAAGCAAATTTGTTTATCTTATGCATAGGATATATTACCTATGTTACGTATATAATGTATTCACAAACTGAAATGAATAACTAAGTTGTTAGGGTTGTGGTATACTTATTTCTAGTGTATTGGCAATGCCTTTTGTGACACAACACTTGCTAGGACTGCAAATATATCCTAAAACTGAGGTCACTTTTAGGAAATCATCGTTGTATCCACTATTATATTTATTTGTTGATCGTTAATTTTTCTTACTTTTGTTCTAGTTGTTTCTGCGATGCACCGTGTGGGTAGTGCAGGGAACACAGCCAATTCCACTCGCCCTCGTAAAGAGAAGAGATTAACATATGTGTTGAGTGATGCTGATGACACAAAGGTGAATTGATTCATTATCTTTCTCCTGATTTTTGTGTTAAGTTCTGTCATTAAGTTTTTATTTGTTAGAATTAATATTGTTTAGTTATTTGTAAATATATAAGTCTCACTTTTGGATTTAGAAGGCACGGCACTCTACCAATTTTGTATCATCTCCCTATATTAGCATTATGCATGTTCAGCATTTTGTGGTGTTAAGTAATAAATGCTTATGTTACTGTGTTTGGATTGTTTCTCTGTATGCAGCATTGTGCCGGCATAAATTGTTTGGCTGTATTGAAGGCATCAGTGTCTGGGTGTGATTACCTGTTCACTGGAAGCCGTGATGGCACACTAAAAAGATGGGCGCTGGCTGAAGATGCTGCTACATGCTCAGCAACCTTTGAGTCTCATGTGGACTGGGTATGCATTTTTCTTTTTGTGTTTAAACCTTTTTATTCTGGTTTAAATTTTTTAAATTTTTTATACCGAACTTACCATATGAGGTCCTGTAGATGTTTAACTTATGAGAGTTCCCATTTTTCTCATAAAAAATGAGTTCCTGCATGCATAAGTTACAAACTTATACTTATAGAGTACTTTTGTTGTGCAGGTTAATGATGCTGTTCTTGCAGGTGATAATACGCTTGTTTCTTGTTCTTCAGATACTACCCTCAAGGTTCAGTGGCTTAGATCTTTGTCCTGGTTTTGTAACTTATGCAATGTCTTTTGCTGTAAGTTATTTTTATATTTTTATTGTATACTTATCCATGTGTCAGACTTGGAATTGCTTGTCGGATGGAACTTGTACCAGAACTCTTCGTCAGCATTCTGACTATGTCACTTGTCTTGCTGCGGCAGAAAAAAATGTAATTTTCTTGTCAAATTTTTATCCACCTTATTAATGCATGGATGGAAGGTTTGGTCGTTGCACTCCTGCTATATGATTTAGTTTCATGTGGATAGCACAACTTGTGCTTGGAGGAATCTTGTCCATCTTTATTCGTACCCGTGTATCTTGAATATATTTTCTCATTTCCTATAAGAAAAAAAGAAAATTTCTGATCCTTTTATAGTGTCACGCATTTTAGAGCAATGTTGTTGCCTCTGGGGGACTTGGAGGGGAGGTATTCGTATGGGATCTTGAAGCAGCTCTTACTCCGGTCTCAAAGTCAGGCGATTCAATGGAAGATGACTCTTCAACTGTTGTCAATGGTTCTGGAAATGCACTACCGATTACAAGTTTACGTACTATCAGCTCTAGCAACAGTATTTCTGTGCACACAACTCAGTCACATGGATATGTTCCAGTTCCTGCCAAAGGCCATAAGGAATCAGTTTATGCTTTGGCAATGAATGATAGTGGATCACTCCTTGTCTCTGGTGGAACAGAGAAGGTATATTTTGATGTTGGTAGTTGGTTTAATGTCCCAAATTTGTTATGTTTGTTTTGTACGCAAGGAATTGTCTAAAAATTGCAGCAGTGTACCAACTTTGGGTTGAACATAATAACTTTCATCTTCGTGTTAATAACTATAAATCATTTCATGATGCCCTTAGGTTGTGCGTGTTTGGGATCCTAGAACTGGTTCGAAGACCATGAAACTAAGAGGGCATACAGATAATATCAGGGCTCTGCTTCTTGATTCTACTGGAAGGTTGGTTGGATAGGTTTATCATAGCCTGTTTTGATTGAGCACTTTAAAATGATTTTAGTTTACCCATTGTCTTGCATAGTTCGGTTTGTAAAATGAATTATATTTGAAATTCAAATATATAATATTATTCTAGGTGTCGAATAATGTTTGGAATATCGCTTATAGATGTTACAGCAAAGTGCATTGAACATACAAGTTAGAACCTTGATTTGATAATGAATGATTTATTCATCTAATTGCATTGTTCTATGTGCTGCATTCGTACAATCTTGTTTTGCTACCAGTATTAACGTTTGTGTTTTAAATTTCATTTTTGCAGATATTGCTTATCAGGATCTTCTGATTCTATGATCAGGTTGATAACTCACATATCTCTCCTTTAACTACGTGGGCAGTTAGAATAGTTAGCATTAGATGCAAGTTGAAAGATGTAATTGTTTATGTGATAAGTAGTTGGTATTTCGTCATCTGTATAGTTCACCAAATTCTTTGCCCATTTTGTAGGCTATGGGATCTTGGTCAGCAACGATGTGTGCATTCTTATGCTGTGCACACAGATTCTGTTTGGGCACTTGCCAGTACCCCAACATTTAGTCATGTATATAGTGGTGGGAGGGACCTTTCTGTGAGTACATTTTTCTCTTGTAACTTATGTTCTGAGACATCTTTGGCTGTTTAGATTTGCTGCTCATCTGTTTAATGCCCAATGTTGTTTGTTCCCTCAGTTATACTTGACAGACTTGGCCACAAGAGAGAGTCTTTTGCTTTGCACTGGGGAACACCCCATTCTGCAGTTGGCTTTACATGACGATAGTATATGGGCTGCAACAACGGATTCTTCAGTTCATAGATGGCCTGCTGAAGGGCGCAATCCTCAGAAGATCATTCAAAGAGGTGGTGCATTCTTGGCTGGAAATTTGTCCTTTTCGAGAGCAAGGGTATCCCTAGAAGGATCAACCCTAGTAAGTATCGCTTAGTTCATTGTATTTCAAAATTTCGGTCTTCTTGTTGCATGTGCATGTATCATCCTCTAGTTGTCATGTTAGCTGCACATATCTTTTTCTTTTGGGTCTTATTTGGTGTTTGTCATGTCAGACCTTTGAGTTTGGTGGATTAATGTTATTTTGGTAAATGTTGTCCAGGTCCCTGTTTATAAAGAACCAATATTTACGATTCCTGGAACTCCTGGAATAGTGCAGCATGAAATATTAAACAATAGAAGGCATGTCTTGACAAAGGTAAATCATGTTGACTTTCTCGTATGTTATTATGATGAAGCGCCTGTTTTAAGTTAACCAGTTTTGTTGTCAAATAGTGTCTTGCCGAGTTTGATTTTATGAACCGATGCAATTATGATAGGATACTGCTGGTTCGGTCAAGTTGTGGGAGATTACTAGGGGTGTTGTTATTGAGGATTATGGAAAGGTGATACATTCTTTTTTTCCTGTAAATATCTGACTAGAACCATCTAATGTGTATAGAACTAATGCCTGATTGGGGCCGCAGATTTCTGGCAATTGTTTTTTTGTATATTGAAGTTTTTTTTAGGGAAGATTATAAGCATCTATCCTTGTAATGTCTGCCATACAGGTCACATTTGAGGAGAAAAAAGAAGAGCTTTTTGAGATGGTATGCTTCCTGGTCTAAAATGATTTGAGCTTAACAACTTAATCGATTTTCTTAATGATTTCTTTGCTGCTTCAGGTGAGCATTCCTGCATGGTTCACAGTGGATACCAGGCTTGGAAGTTTATCTGTACATCTGGACACCCCACAATGCTTTTCAGCAGAGATGTATTCAGTAGACCTTAACATCGTGGGGAAGCCTGAAGATGACAAGGTAGCTATAATCTTGAATTCGTTTCTATGTTTGTTCTTCCCCCTATTTTTGTGGGTTCTGTCTTCTGTGATTTGTCTTATATTTTTTGGATGCATTCAAAAGTAAAGAAGACTCTTTAAGATGCATTCAAAAGTTTTATTGAAAGGCTAGCCTTGAAGCTCTTAATAGCTTGATGCTCTCTATTATATATATATATATGCATGATGCATACTAAAATTCTGTCAAAAATATGCCTGAGATAATGAATTGAAAAGGATTAGTAATGCATTACATTACTCACAATTATTGATTAATAATTTAATACGTATGAATTTAACGATGTATTAGTAAAGCCAAGTTTAGCTTCCTTTTTATCTTTTCCTCTACCCTCCCGTTACTAAAGTGGTTTCAAAGTTAAATTGAGTGCTTGTAACTTTTCAGGTTAATCTAGCACGAGAAACCCTTAAAGGGCTCTTGGCTCACTGGTTGGCGAAAAGAAAGCAAAGATTTGGAGTGCAAGCATCTGCTAATGGGGATGCACCATCTGGAAAGGAAGTCACCACTAGAAGTATTACGCATTCAAGAATTGAGGTGGATAGTAATACTGAAAACGATTCAATGGTCTATCCTCCCTTTGAATTTTCTACAGCTTCCCCTCCTTCAGTTATAACTGAGGGCTCTCAGGGAGGCCCATGGAGGAAGAAAATCACTGACCTAGATGGTACTGAAGATGAGAAGGACTTTCCTTGGTGGTGTCTCGATTGCGTGTTGAATAATCGCCTACCCCCTAGAGAAAACACCAAGTAACTTACTTATTTTCAATGTAGTTCTCCTTGCTTTTATTTGAAGTTTTTATTTCCTGCCTGAGAATAAATTCTATTTTCTATATATGATAATGCTTATGTCTATTCAAAAAATTACTTGCCTGAAAGTTGCAATTAACTTTGTGCATGTTGAATTTTGAATGATTTATAAAAAGTGGTAATGTTGCAGGGATATGTTTCAGTTTTATTGTTTTCTTGCATCAACACTTACTTCTTGAAAGATGTTCACTCTAGTAATAATTGTTGAAACTAAAGTTCCTGAATAGAGCTATCATGAAATATAGTAGAGAAGTGACTTGTTTCCTTTCTCTTCTATGATTCTGTCTTTAACTCCTTGTGGCTGAAATTTCTCCTTTACAAAATAAAAAAAAAAAAAAAAAAAAAATTCTTTCTTCTGGATGGTGTTTGATTTTCAGTTTGCTAATTTAATAGTTATCCTTGAAATATTATATATTTTGATAGATTTATCTTATTGGAAAAAAATCCTTTATTAGACTATCTCACAAATAAATGGAAAAAAAAGAAGCTTTGATAGACTCATGACATGCAGAAGTCTGAAATAGTTATCCGGTTTGGATGATTATGATTGTTTTTGCCAATATTTTTTGTTTTGGTTTATCTTTACAGGTGCAGTTTTTATCTACATCCATGCGAAGGTTCAGCTGTTCAGATCCTCACACAAGGGAAACTTAGTGCACCTCGTATATTACGAATTCATAAAGTAAGTTATGGGTTTCATGGTAGTTGATGCCTTAATTTTATTATTATTTTTCTAAGGTAAGTGAATAGTTTCCTTCATTGTGCTAAAGAGTAAGATTCTTAGTGAAATGAAATGACTGCTGGAGTATGATAGAATAATACCTTTTGAAAACAGTAATGAGAAAGCCAAAGTTTCTACTTCTGCATTATTTGTTAGTATTTTAAAGTACATTTGTTATTTTTATTGAAATGCTGAAAGGCATTGATTTGGATTCGGCTGGCAACATGAAAAGTGGATGCCAGCAGAATCTATCCTTTTCTGCTGGTGTCCACAGCTGCTGTGATGGAAGATAATTTTTATATCTCAGTATTTGGTTTATCAATAACATACAATATGACCAGCTTGGCTTGCTTTGTCTTGGTATGCAGGTTGTTAATTATGTAATTGAAAAGATGGTCCTTGACAAACCATTGGATAGTGCAAATCCTGATACAACACTTGCTCCTGGTCTTGCTGGAGGACCAGTGCAACTATCAGCCATTGGAGATGCATCTTTTCGATCTGGATTGAAGCCATGGCAAAAGCTTAAGCCTTCTATAGAGATATTGTGCAACAATCAGGCAAGTGGATAAACATCTTGGGTGTATGTAGTCACCTAGATAGTAATTAGTAAATTAACTTTTTAGTAGGACTCTTCTATGGTGCAAAAAAAGTTTAATGAGCTTTAACTGTTAAAAGTTTAAGCTAGAGGTAAATGCATTTTCTATTTATGGGATCAAGTGAAATGGATTTAGTAGAGTTTAATTTGATTGTTTCTGATTTTAAAGTGCTATCTAAAAGCGATTTAATTGTTATGTGACTGCTATTGGTTATATTTTTTTTACTTTTTGTTATGCGCAGGTCTTGTCCCCAGAAATGAGCTTAGCCACAGTGCGGGCTTATATATGGAAGAAATCTGAGGACCTGATTCTCAATTACAGGGTGGTTCAGGGAAGGTGATTGTGTGCTAGATTCCGGAGGTGAGGTGGTTATTTTTATCCTTTCTATGCAAGTTTCTGTAAATTTCTAGTAGAAAAGTGTTGGAAGACATGAAAATTTTGAATTATTTCAGTAAATAGAAGACTTTTTGGTTAAATCAGCTTTTTCACTCATTTTTACTGATCGGAACAGAAAAGAACATTAGATGCACAGTTATTATTATGTTTGCGAACTTTAATATACACGACTTCTTTACTTCCTGAAAAAACCAATGTTGACACGTCTTAAAACTGATGTAGACTTTAGATGATGCTCAAGCTTTGTTGTTGATACTTGCAGGTGATATTGTGTTTAAGATAAAGGGGAAATATTGATTCTTCTGGGGAAGCTCTTGGTATTCAGAAATACATTTGTAAAGTTTGAAAACCAATTGATTGCGGATTCCAGTGGCATCCCCCAAAACTTGCCGAGAAGGCTCTGGTTAAGCACGTTCCTTGTTGGGCAGGTTGGGCACCCATAAATCTTGAACATTGTCGCTGACATAAAAGCTTTTGCTGGACGCTGCAGATTTTCTCAAGTGGTTGTCTGCATGTGACAGTAGATAGAGTTTTCGACTGTGGATGAGAAATTAACAGGAAGTATCTTGGAACTTCCCAAGAGCCGAATTAGACACATGATGATGAAAGATTTGTAGATTTGTACTGTCAGTTACCTAGCCATAGAATATTCTATTGTGAAGGGGATTTTAGTTTCTTTTTTGTTTCATGGAATAAGACAGTCCCATTTCAGTTCCATATCCAGACTTGTGCTGCTCTTTAATGTAGTTCCTATTTTATATAAGATCATACTAAATGAAATCCCAATTTTGCATTATACGGGTTATAAATTTATGATCCGGTAGTTTTCCTGTTTTCTTTGTTTACTCGTGTACATACACTCCATGTTATTCAAAAGTAATTGGGACCTATTGTTGTAATACTTAAATTCTTGTTTTGTGGAGGCCAAGGAATTTGCTTTCGTTTGTGCCGCAACTTTCTGCATCTTTGATTTTAGGTTAAAGTTGGGCACCCTTGGTTGGGTATATAATATATTTTCTCCCATAAGAGAAATGTTGGGCGCGTATGCAAAAGACGGCAAATTCCCATAGGTGTACCCAGCAAGCACCTTACATTCCTAACTGATTTTGATTGCTCAATTCCCAAACCAGAATCAAATCCTATGGTCCAGACAGAGTGATCTTAGAGTGGTCCATAATCTCTATCTCATGGTTGTGTTCTCTTTGATTACGTTTTGGCTTAAGCTTCTTAACCACATGGAGTTTTGGTTATTCCACTCATGGTGGTGCTTGTTGCTTGCAAGCAATTTCTTGGAGGCTGCAAGTGAATGTCTTTTTCATTAGAGCATCCACAGTGGGGGGGTGTATATGGGGGTGTATGTTAAATATACACCCCGAGTCACCGGAATCGTCTTCAATGGGGAGATGTAAATGAATGTAAATATACATCACCACCATGGGGATGTAAAATAAAATGTATATTTACATCTATTTTTACATCTCTTGCACGTGGGACCCACCCGAAAAAAGAAGAGGAAAAGTGGAGAAAAGTCATCATAAAAGAGTGGGACCGGTTGCTACAGTAATCGCTGGAAAAAAATTCACATGCAGAGCAATTTTGGGAATTTTTGGATGAAATCCTATCTTCTCCGAATTTAAATATTTTTAGGTCTATTTGTTTGAAAAAATAAAATTAACCTAATACAAAAAAAATTAATTTGATAAAGTAAACACAAAATACAAATTTAGCACAAAAACGAATTAAGACAATTAAATCAATTATACATATTTAGATTTACATCGTTTCCCATTGGAGCAAAAAAACGTATTTACACCCTCCGGAGATGTAAAAGGGATGTAAAAGTGGCTTTACACCCTTGAAAATACACCCCCCACTGTGGATGCTCTTAGGTTAAATCCCGTTGGCTTTTGTTTTCTTTTTTAATTCTGTCTGAAGAGATACTACTTGTGATGGGCCAACCGTGATTTTGATTGATGTTCAGACTCACATTGACTTGTGAGCATCTTAAAAAGGAAAAAGAGAAAAAGAAAAAAATAGGTGGTGTAGTTAGCCTAATACGAAATGTACAGTCAGGCTGGATTGAAAATCACTGGGAAAAACAGTTCCTTTACGAGTCACGTACAATGTTTTTCCTTTTGGTCAGAGAGGTTTGCTAGGCGTGTTTTGTAGGTGGGCCACCAACGCACCATTTCAAGTAATATTTTGTTAAAAAGTCTTTCTCTTTTACCTATGTTTTTTTACAAGAAGATCTTCCCTCACCTCATTTGGAAATTACAGCAAAAACAAAGCGCGGGAAGGAGGAACAATATATTCTTCTTTTATTGCCTTGCCCTTTTCGGCTACCAAGTAACTTACAAAGTTTTACCAGTGTTCACTGGTCAGCTTCCCCTTCTTCCAGAACTTCTGCAAAAGGCCAAAGACAAAGAGCCAGTCAGGTGACCCATGTGGCAAAATATCATCCAGACCAAAAAGCAATGGACAAAACTCAACTCTTTCCCTGCCACTCAGACCCACGTCAGGTATAATCCAAATTCTTAGCTAATAATTTAATTTCCTCATTTATTTCATTTCCAGTTGTGTTCAGATTATTATTTTACCTAATATTTGACGTTCAGTGTACCAATATTTGGATCGAATTATTCTTGAAGTAGATGAAAGCTCAAGAATTTACTTGTTTTAAAGGCCATACCTTCCATTAGTGCTATCTGGGTCTGCTTAAAGTTTCAATTTTCTACCCATTTCTGTGTCCTGTAGAGTTTGAGCGAAACATGCGATTGCAAACGTTAAAGTGGTCCGAGGGCAGTCCAACTGAATTTAGTAGCTTTTTTGTTCAGCTTTTCCCAAGTGGTAGTTCTTAAGTTGGTGAGTTGGTGAACCTTGACAAAGGGTCTATAATCTTTTACAATTGCTTGAAGCCATGACATCAATTATAGGCTTCCCAGGACCACATTTTTGTGTGTTAAATTCAGAGAATAAACCTCGGTTTCAAGTGCAAGCTAGGAGTTTAGGTAGTAAGGATTCACCAGTTTTGTCATCAGATTCAGTTGCTGTGAATGGTGCTTCCGTATTCGAGGAGAGGGAGGAAAGGAGGTCTTTGATTGATGAAGGGAATGAGAGGTTGAGGCATAAGGTTAATGAGGAGAAGAGGGTGAAGGATGGTGTTCTTGAAAGTTTGGAACCTTTGTGGGATGATGGGTATGGGACTGTGACTGTAAAAGATTATTTTGATGCAACCAAGGAGATGATTAAGCCTGATGGCGGACCTCCCCGGTGGTTTTGTCCCGTTGCTTGTGGGGCGCCATTAAAGGATTCTCCAATTCTTTTCTTTTTGCCTGGTAATTGATGCCTGACCACAAATGCCAATCCATAAATTGGTTTCTAGTTTTGGTACTGTAATTTGCATACAAGGGATACTAAACTTGAGGAAAAAAGTGTTTCTTATGGGCTGACACTCAAAGATGAGTTTGCTAGTGAGCGAAATTCTATATTACAGAAAGTTTGCATAATCATTTTGGTATTGATGCATGCAGGGCTAGATGGTACTGGGTGGGGCCTCATTTTGCACCATAAAGCTCTTGGGAAGTAAGTTTTTTTCTTTTCATAATTAATTATTTGTTTATAGGATCTTAGGAGGAAAGATAACTCTTATCTTCAATTTGGACAATTATGTTTTGTTGCTCAAACTTCACTCGTATAAATGGTTGCCCTTGTTAAGAAATCAGGTTTAGCTAAATTTGAGGTTAACTAGCAACTTCTGATATATACTTCCTTGAAAAATGCAGGGCTTTTGAAGTTCGATGCCTGCATATTCCTATTAATGATCGAACACCATTTGAAGGTCTTAATTTTTGAAAGCCTTTATATATGTTTATTTTGTAACTACGCATCTATGCATTTATCTATACAAACGTAATCTGTGTAGAACAGAGTACTTTCTGGAGTTATTTATGAAGTAATCCTACTTTTTACTCATGAGAGTGAGGATCATTTTTGTTGGTCTTTATTTAAGAAGATGTCACTCTTAATCAATAATTTGGAGAGTGGTTTCAATTATGAAGGGCTGGTGAAATTTGTTGAAGAAACTATCAGGCTTGAGCATGCTTCATCTCCAAACAAGCCAATTTATTTGGTCGGAGATTCCTTTGGAGGATGCCTATCACTTGCCGTTGCTGCACGTAATCCTACCATTGATCTAGTACTGATACTAGTCAATTCAGGTTGGTTATGAGATGTGCAGTTCAATATTCTTCATCTAATATTCTTACATTATGTTAATGACCTGTCGTAACTCTGTCTGACATTTTATTTTTTGTTTTTATTTTAGCATCATCAATTGAAAGATCTCAGCTACAACCTCTGTTCCCTATCTTGGAGGCTATACCTGATGAATTACATACCGCAATTCCCTATCTCCTCAGCTTTGTTATGGGTATGTGATTTGTTGCTCCAGGATCTGATTAACAAAAACATTTGTGGAGAAGTCAAATAATTCATTGCTAATTTGGCACTTGTCTTTGCTCTCAATCCTGTGTTAGTTATGTTACTTTATTTGTTGAAAGCAGTTCTGAGAACTTTTGGATGTTAGTTTTCCTGGAAAGTTTCATGTGTGTGTCATGATCAGAAACAACTATTTGCAGTCTCAAATTTCTCGTTTTCAATGCCAAATACATGAACTTTCATTCCATCAGGTGATCCAACAAAAATGGCGATGGTTAATATTGAAAGTAGGCTCCCTCCCAGTTTAAAACTTACACAATTGTCTCGCAACCTCATTGCTTTGCTACCATGCCTCTCAGTAAGTGCTTGCAACTTCTGTTTTTGAACTTTGTGTACTTTTCTTCCTGGAATTATCATTTTCTCCTTTTAACTCGTTTTGAATTGTTTTTAACCTTCTTATATCTTTCATTTGGTTATAGTTGCTTTGCTCATCGCTTACTGTAGATTTTTATTATTTTTATTTCAGTCTTTGGCTGATATTATACCGAGGGCGACTCTTCTTTGGAAGCTGAAGCTGCTCAAATCAGCTGCTGCTTATGCAAATTCCCGTCTCCATGCTGTTAAAGCTGAAGTACTAGTGTTGGCCAGGTTCACTATACCTAATGTGGTTCTCTCTTCATTCGCATGAAAGAATGATTAATTTAAAATTGTGTGTATATATATTTGATTTCTTTTTTCTTTGGGTACAAATTATATATTTGCGTTTCAGTGGCAAAGATAACATGGTGCCTAGTCGAGATGAAGCGCAAAGACTAATGAGCTCATTACAGAATTGTACAGTTCGTCACTTCAACGACAATGGACATACCCTATTACTAGTAAGTTTAAATATGTATGTATGTTATGAGTCTGGTGTGATGCTTTGATGCAAACTTCTCTGTACTGTGTTACCCTTGTGCAATAGAAGTTTTAATTTTTTGGTACCTTTTCCTTGTGAAAACACAAACTTAATTGACTGCACTCCTGCTGTCATGTTATAGGAAGATGGCATTAATTTGTTGACAGTTATAAAAGGCACTTGCAAATACCGTCGTTCGAGGAAGCGGGATTATGTCTCAGATTTTCTCCCTCCTAGTATGTCAGAACTCAAATACACATGCGATGAAGTATTCGGGTAATTCACTTCACACTCTTTTTTTTTTTTTTTTTTTTTTTTTTTTTTTTTTTCCTGTTTCCTTTTGTGTTTTCTAATGATTTTGTATACCACTTGTGGACATATTTGTGGATATGGGGCCAGAGAGCTGATACTAAAGTACATGAATGTCAGGTTATTACGCTTAGCTACTGGTTCTGTAATGTTCTCAACATTGGAAGATGGGAAGATAGTGAAAGGTCTTGCTGGAGTACCTCATGAAGGACCTGTCTTAATTGTTGGTTATCACAATTTAATGGGATTGGAGCTGAATTCTTTAATTGAAGAATTTTTAAGAGAAAAGAACATAATGGTTCGTGGAGCAGCACATCCAGAGTTGTTCTGGGGGAAGTCCTCAAGCTTGGCTACCTTTGACTGGCACAAAGTATTTGGTGCAGTTCCTGTCACAGCAAAAAATCTATTCAAATTGCTTTCGTCAAAATCACATGTTCTGCTCTATCCTGGTGGTGCACGTGAGGCTCTCCATTTCAAGGTGTGCAAAGCTCCTTCCTTGTGTCATCTTAAACCAAATTTTCAGTAACTTAAGAGCCTTGTATTATCTGTCCTAACAAAGGAAGTCTCCATTTTGCATGTTCCTAAGATGTATGCAATGGATTTTACAGAAACATTTCATTTTTGTTGGTAGTTTGATATGTTATAGTTTTGGTTTCCCATGTTTATATGGTGCTTGAATAATTGGCAGGGTGAAGAATACAAGCTATTCTGGCCTAATAAACCAGAATTTGTGAGAATGGCTGCACAATTTGGGGCCACCATTGTACCATTTGCAGCTGTAGGAGAAGATGACCTACTAGAAGTAAGCTGAACCTTGCAGTTTTTCTTCTTGAGCTAACATTGACCTAAAGCTGAACTTTGCGAAGTTAACATTGTGCTCTGCTTCTTATTTGTATATGGCAGTTGGTTTTTGACTACAATGACCTAAAGAAGATCCCTATGATCAGTGACTATATCAAAGAATCTAATCGCGATGCTATAAGATTAAGGTAATTAATTACTCTCCATGTATTTATTTATTTTTGGTTTCTAATCTTAACTAGCTGTTTGTGAGACTTGAATGATCTTGTTTTGACAAAAAAATGTGGTGTGGCTATAGGGATGAGACGAGCGGGGAGGTGGGAAATACAGATCTCTTTTTACCGGGGGTTTTACCCAAGTTACCAGGGCGCTATTACTATTTATTTGGGAAGCCAATAGTAACCAAGGGAAAAAAAGAGTTCCTGAAAGATAAAGAAAATGCAAACAAATTGTATTTGGAGATACAATCTGACATTGAAAACAGTTTAGCATACTTGCTTAAGAAGCGGGAGGAGGATCCTTATAGGAGTGTTACAGACAGAACAGCTTATCGGGCGATGTATTCCCCTATACATGAAGTTCCAACATTTGAGCCTTGACAATTTATGTTCGAAAAATCGCTATATTATCTCACTTTTACTTTTGTATTTTCTGTAACCTTGATATTAAAAAAACCAAAACTGCCAAAAAAACCGTTTTCCTTTTTCCAATGTAGGCCCATTTTGCCATGTTTAAAAATAGGCCCATTTTACAAAACTCCACCCGTTAGGTCAGTTATCTTCTTCTTCCCAGCGCCGCCTTCTCCTAACTCTCTCCGTTTCGATTTCGTCTCTGTGTTTCGATCTCTCTTCTTCTTCTTCCTCTCTAGTTACGCGTCGCCTAACTCCCTGGCGCCTACCCCTAACGATTAGGGTGAAATCGCGGCGGTGTCCTCCCGCCTAGCGCCTAGGCGGCCGCCTAGCCCGATTTTTCCAACGCTTTGTGCACGAACTCCACTAATTAATACAAGTTTCATATGGTGTGGCCCAAATAAATGGGGTTTTCTTTTCCTGTTATCGTTTTCAAAAGAAATACTGAATCTTTTGTTGCAAACTTGAAATTGGGGTCTAAGAAGAAGCATTATAGCCTGAAAAACAGAAGAAAAAAGAAGTAAATGTCCCTCTGTGAACAGAAATTAACAAGAAAGTACTCAACAACAATATCTCCAATAAAGGATGCAACGTGATTGCCTTTTCTATATAGAATCCGTAATGAGAGACTTAAAATAATGAGGAAGTAAAGTTGGAACTCAGACCAGAGGGAATTACATGGTAATGCCATGTGGTTAATGGAGGTCTCAATCCATGCATGGGTGCAGAACATGATTCTTGAGATATTTTAGAAAGGCAGAATCTGCGTTTAGCCAGAAGGGTCGGTTTGATTCTTGAATGGAACACAATAACTTGATTCGGCATTTGCTGAATGAAACACAATAATATATCATAATAATCGCGTATGGTCTCTCTCTCTCTCTCTCTCTCCCCTCAATTTTCTGGTAGAAGCAATGTATTCTGAACAGTGAAGGTCTTGCAATTGAAGGTAATGGAGGTCACAATCCATGGATAAGCAGAACATGATTCGTTTTCAACATTTAGCAATCGAAGAATTTGAATGGTGCATTAGAAAAAGAAATATGTGCTCAAAAAGTAGCACAACTAGCTGTTGTGTACATATACAAGGAGAAGCGTCAATATGTTCCAAGTGAGAAAGAAGTCGAGTCGTATAGCTAGTTCCAAACTCAAAGCTAACTAAGCAATGGCCGGCTATGATTACAGTTACAGATCAGGTTACTCTACCGGCAACAGGGTAGGATCGTACACTGACCAATGGGGCCAAACAAGGTATGCAAATGCTGCTGACAATGATGAGTGCGGGGGAGCTATGTTATACAAACTTTTTTTTCCTCTTGTTTTTGGTAAAAGCTATGTCACAAAGTTGGAGACGAGAGAATTATTCATGATCATGTTCACTCACCTTTGTTAACCTTCATGCAGGCATGGCTCTCCTCCACTTGTTGAGCCAGTGAGAAATTACGGCTATGCTGCTGATGACAATTGGCGTAGGCCTCCTAGCCCACCACGACACGCCATTGATGGTTTCCACACCAGAATCCACACTGATGCTAGCCGTGATCCTAGGGTTGGACCCTTCAATGGCATAACCTGGGGCCAACAACCCAATCAAATTGGATACAATGGAACTACGGGCTATGGCGGCTATAGTGACTACAGCAACAACACATTGTACAAGCCTAATGGAAACACCATTCGGAATGACAACTATGATGACTACCACCACAACCGCAAACATGATAGTGTCATGGGGCCAATCAATCTGACGTCACACGGTGGCTACCACGGTAAGTCAAGCCATTCAACATGGACTTCTACACTTCCAGTTCGTGGTGATGGCAAACTCAGCATTCCAACAGATGACATGGAGAGGGCCCTGCACTACTTGAAGGAGAGTGCAAAGTCTTCAGCATGGCCAAGAACAACATGACAAATTCACGCAACTAATGTCCGATGCTAATTAAGGCTTGGTGCTTTATGCTTCAGCTTGGCTTTTCTTGGGTCATTTTCATCCGTTGGTCTGGTCTAACCTAACTACTCTATCTGTTTTCTGTTATCTGCATCTGTTTAGCTGTACTGTAATACATTGAGGTGCACTCTTTGTAACCTGTGCTGAAGATGGCATGTTTGCTTTGTGAAATTAGAAATAAAATAAGCTTTTCAGCAACTAAGCCCAAAGTATATTATGGGTTCTGTAACTATATAATCTTAACAAGTAATTAAAGTTTCTGATCGGCTTCATATCAGCCTGATCATGGATATCAAGATAATATCTAAACTAATAAGCGATGGCAATCGAATGATAACCTCATAAGTATGCACTGTGCACTAATCGAGTTGCTCTTCGAACATCTCTGCCATATGTTGTACATCACTTGCCCTATTCACTATTCAACCAAAAGAATCCACAAGGTGTAAAACAGGTCAGAAGTAAGCTATTGTATGCGAGACAAGAGACTTTCCTTGTTCGTAACTACACCTCTACTAATGACATGCTCCAAAATCAAAAGAGAGAAAAAGAATGGCTTCGATTGTAGCTGTCTGCAAGCCTTCCTTGTGTACATGCTCACTGCCACCTTGTCAGTTGGAACATCTGGTTTTAGTATTAGCTCACTGGGATCGGTTTAGTTCTCTTGGCAGAGAATTTAACTTCCCAATAGAAGCATCATATCAAGGCTGAAACAATGGTTTTTGGTTGTAAGCTTCTTCAGAAATAGCCAGATTTGTATTTCCAGCATGATAGAATAAAGGATGTAAAGTTATTCTCTTTACTATATTCTGTTCACATTAAGAATACATCACAGATTAAACGAATAAGGGAGGAAACTTGGGTGGATTTGCAATTGCTCAGAACAGAGGAAATGACAGGGGATCACGTGGTTAATGGATGTCTCAATCCATGTGTGAGCAGAACATGATTCTTCAGACTTTCTAAACGGGAATAAATCTAGATTTGGGCCAAAGGTGTAGAATTGATCCTTGATGGATCTCTTCAGTGGAAACATTTTAAGCCTAGTAGTCCTGAAGATGAGGTGATATGGGTGGGTGGAGAATGGCCAACCAGGGTCTATAGTTGCGGGTGGGACACGACCGAAAGTTCAATCAAACTATGCTCCCAATGAAACAGTGAAGATCAGACCTTCAGAATAACGGAGGTGGTCCCAATCCATGAATTGGCAGAATATGATTCTTTCAACACTTTGGCAATGTGAAAGGGAATGATGAAGTGCATCAGAGAAAGAAGCATATGTGATAGAAAGCTAAAATATCTTTACTTTCAATATATATATTAAAGGAGAGGCCTCAACATGTTTCAAGTGAGAAACAAGTCCTCAAAGTAAATCATATAGTTCAAAGCTTCAGGCTAAGAAATGGCCGGCTATGATTACGGTTATAGATCAGGTTACTCTAACAGCAAGGGGGCAGGACCACACCCCAATGAATGGAGCAAGACAAGCTATGCAGATGATGAGTGTCGTACAGTCATCGTTGATGCTGACGGAACACAAAGAACAATCATTGGTTGCACTCCCCTCCATAATCCAGAGGCCTATGTAACAAAAACTGAGACAATCATTCAGGAACGTATTCTCGGCCCTGTGTTCCCGGCTGCATACAAGCATAGCTCTCCTTCCACAGTGGTTGTTGAACCAGTGAAACAGTACGGGTATGCTGATGACAAGTGGCGTAGGCCTTCAAGCCCTGTGAAAGGTTACGGCTACTCTGCTGACGATCACAAGCTGCGTAGGCCTTCAAGCCCTGAGAAAGGTTATGGTTATTCTGTTGATGATCACAACAAGCTGCGTAGGCCTACAAGCCCTGTGAAAGGTTATGGTCATCCTGTTGACGATCACAACAAGCTGCGTAGGCCTTCAAGCCCTGTGAAAGGTTATGGTTATCCTGTTGATGATTACAACAAGCTGCACAAGCCTTCAAGCCCTGTGAAAGGTTATGGTTATGCTGCTGATGATCAAAGGTTGCGCAGGCCTTCCAGCCCCGAACATGATTATCCGCGGGAAGTTGGTAATTTCCTCACCAAAGTCCACACTGAAGCAAGCCGTGATCAACCCTCAAGGGTTGGACCCTTGAGCGGTGTAAACTGGCGCCAACCGCCCCATCAAACCGGGCATAATGGCACTACAGGCTATGGTGATTATAGTGACTACAACAACAAACCATTGTACAAGCCAAATGGAAACACCAACTACAATGACTACCACCGCAAAAATGATAGTGGCAGCACGGGACCAACCATTATATCCAACGGTGCTAGGCCAATCCGTTCGACATGGGCTCCACCAGCTCCCGGTCGCGAGGGAAGACTTACCACCCCAACAGATGACATTGAGACAGCCTTGCGCTTCTTGAAGGAAAGTGCAAAGCGAGATGAATATCAGACAGATGCTGCAAAGCGAAATGTCAGATTCAATGTGCCATCATGGCCATGAACAACATGACATATTCATCAAACAACTATCTATCTGATCTGATGGTAAAGGGCTTTTATTTCATCCGATGGTTTGGTCTAATCTCGCTACTCTCTCTGTGTCTGTTATTTCCTGTTTAGCTACATGTTAAAGGCATTGTGGTCTGAGTAACCTGTGTTGGTGACATGCATGTGCCTTGTGAAATAAGTAATAAAATAAGCTTTCTTTCAGCAATTAATCCAGCAATAAATATGTAAGGTTTTATCTTTAGCTTATATAGTAAATGGAGCTTATGTTCCACTTTGTATGAACCTGATCACAGATATTCAGATCATATATCTAAAATAATTATAATTTCATTGAAAATGACACAATTTCATGATAACCTTCCACCCTCAGTAATTAAATTACATCAAGATGAAGACTTTGATATACAGTGTGGAAATAGAGTTCTGCACGCAACACTATGTACCACAAGTATATATAGTGCATTTCATTTGTATAGAATAGAACAAGTTGAGAGAGACGCAATTGTGATTGTGATATTTGTAAGACAGTCCACCTTAATAATAATAATTCAGAAATGGAGTTCATTTTAATCGATTTACTCCTCTCCTCAACACTATGTCGATAGTGCTTGCATCTTTTTTCATATAATCAAATCCGAAGATTAAACTCAACTCCTCAATTTGGAAGCACTTTCTTCAAAAATCTTTAAAATGCTTGGAAAAGCTTGAAAGTGAAACATTTTAAAAACCCACAAATGCCTTTGGTGAAGTAAAATTTTCAAAATCAGAAATTTAATTAAAACAGGGTAAAACGGTAAAACAACAACCATTTAAAACAAAATAAAAAAAACATGCCAACACAACACAAATATCATGGAAACCGCACACTGCTCTGAGCAACAGTTACCTTCCGGAGCTGATGACATGTTCAAGAAATTGAAGCTCCACACTTTATGTAATTTAGACGACTCGATAGTTGCCTTCGATACTCTATTGCTCCTGGGAAGAAAGTTGTAGAGGCTGCTGATCTTGGTGCCGATAAGCGCTCAAGGGTCAATGTTTTCTTCGATTTGCTCGCCATCTATATGCTTTTTTTGGAACCACACCATGTATATGATTTTGGTTTTGGGTTTATCTCTCTCTGTCTTCTCTTACTATACGATATGTTTCTTTTCTTCAGGTCTTTGACAAGGAGTTTCTATTTGGGATGTTGTCAAATTATTTGAGGTATATGATTCATTTCTGTTTTTGGTTGTAGGATTTACTTCCTTTGCTTTTGTTTGACAATGAATTTCTTTTCATTTGTATTCTAAATCATATGAATTCTGTTTTGTTCTTGGTCAATTGCTAAACTAAATTCAATAGTTGTTGTTTGTTGTTCTATATATCATAACTTTTAAGATGGGCCCTTCATATCCACAGCTTTGCTCCCAAATTACCCTTCAGACTCTGCCCCTCATCTTGCTTCTCAGCATATGTTTCTTCTTCTTCTTCTTCAATCGCATTTTCCCAGTTCAGTCAATCACCTGCCAATGTTCATGAATTCTTGTCACTCTTACAACAATTTTCAGAAAGACTGATCTGGGTCAAGGCCATCCATTCCCAGATTATCACTAGTTCTATATTCAAAAACCAGATTTTGGCTACAAAGCTTGTTAAAGCTTACTCTGATTTGGGTATTTTGGTTGATGCCCGTCATGTGTTCGATCAATTTCGTCATCCAATAACCATTCTATGCAATGCCATGATTTATGGGTATTTAAGAAAAGAGAGATACAATGAGACCCTTAACTTGTTTAGTTTGATGGGTTTTTGCAATTTGGAGACTGATAGCTACATGTGTAATTTGCACTCAAGGCGTGCATGGGCTTATCAGATTATAAAAGGGATATGGAAGTTATTAAGAGAGCTGTGGATAAAGGAATTGAAAGTGATTGGTTCTTGGGGATTTCAATGATTAATTTCTTTGTGAAATTCGATAAGATTGGTGATGCACAAAGGTTTTTCAATAGGATGCCGTAAAGAGATGTTGTTTGTTGGAATTCCATGATTGGTGGCTATGTGCAATCTAGTCAGTTTAGTAAGGCAATTGATATGTTTCTAGAAATGTGTAGTTGTGGGGTTTGGCCAAATCTAGTCACTATGTTGAGCATAATTCAAGTTTGCATTAAAAGTGGGGATTTCAAGCTTGGAAAATGTGTTCATGGGTGCATAGTTAGACTGGGAATGGGTAATGAGGTACGGACCTCACTAATTGATATGCATAGTAATATGGGTGAAATGCAAAGTGCCTGTTGGGTTTTCGAGACCATGCAGACAAGAAATTTGGTTTCATGGAATGTCATGATATCGGGGTGTACTCACAATGGTCTGGTGCATGAGTCTTTTGTCTTCTTCCACAGATTAGTCACAAGTGATGGTAGGTTTGATTCTGGGACTATGGTGAGCCTTGTTCAGGGCTGTTCTCAAACAGCTGATCTGGAAAGTGGAAAAATCCTACATTGTTGTGCTTTTCGGAGGGGTTTTGATTTAAATCCCATTTTTTCCACTGCCATTGTTGATCTCTACTCTAAATGTGGTGCAATAAAGCAAGCACCTTTTGTCTTCGACAGAATGGAAGAGAGGAACGTGATTACATGGACTGCTATGCTGCTAGGATTGGCACAAAATGGGCATGCAGAAGAAGCCTTGAAACGATTCTGTCAGATGCGAGAAGAGGGAATTGCTGCAAATTCAGTAACTCTTGTTAGTTTAGTCCATTCTTGTTCCCATTTAGGTTCTCTGAAGAAAGGAAGGAGTGTTCATGGTAATTTAATCCGGCATGTCCATGCACTTGGTGTAGTTAACATGACAGCCTTGATTGATGTGTATGCGAAGTGTGGAAAAATACTATGCTGAGAGGATATTTGAAAATTGCTCGATTTGTAGAGATGTTATCCTGTGGAACTCTATGATAACAAGCTATGGTATTCATGGTTATGGACTGCAAGCTCTTGGCGTTTATAGAAGAATGAAGGATGAGGGATTTAAGCCAAATGAAACCTCCTTTCTCTCTCTCTTCTAACTGCTTGTGGTCACTCAGGACTTGTCAAAGAGGGGATCAAATTATTCCATAGCATGGAGAGAGACCCTGACATTGTGCTGACCGAAAAACACTATGCTGGTTATGTGGATCTTTTAAGCTGAGCAGGCAGATTTGAAGAAGCAGAGGCATTGATGGAGCAAATGCCTTATAAACCAGGAAATTATGTTCTTGAAGCATTGCTAAATGGATGTCACGCTCACAAGAACATTGATCTGGGGTATAAAGACAGCAGATAGATTACTTTGTATTGATTCCATGAACCCTGGAATTTATGTTGTGTTATCAAACATTTATGCTCAAGCAAGGAGATGGGATTCTGTAAATTATATTCGAAGCCACATGAGGACGAAGGGACTCAAAAAAAAAAGCCAGGGTGTAGCTTGATTGAAGTAGGACACCAAGTTTACTAATTTTTTGCTGGAGACAACTCACATCCAAATTGGGCAGAGATTCATCAGCATTTGGAGATTTTAAGAGTAGCAGTTGAGGCTTCTGATTATGTACCTGATACAAGTTGTGTTCTTCGTGACGTGGATGAGCCTGCGAAGGTAAGGTTGCAATGGGACCACAGTGAGAGATTAGCCATTGCATTTGGACTTTTAAGCACACCAGCTGGGAGCTTGATTAGGATCACAAAGAATCTGCGTGTATGTGTTGATTGTCACAATGTGACTAAATATATATCCAAGATTGTGAGGGGGAAACTTATTGTGAGAGATGCCAATCGTTTCCATCACTTTGTTGATGGGAAATGCTCCTGTAATGATTACTGGTGATGAGGGTCTTCTTGTGGAGAGAGGACGTGGCTAGTTTGTAACAAGAATTTTGAAGCTCAGCTCCTGTTTGTAAACTTATCCCCACAAGAATTGCTGCCAAGTCAAGACCTGAGGCTGAAGTTTTGATTTTTCTAGTGTCAAAAAGTTTTTCCAATTTTTGTATGTCAATTCGTATGCAAATAAGATATTGTAATGAAATCACATAATCTGACCATCATCTAATGATGAAAATTTAGGAACAGTTTACCAATTACCCTTGTCATCCACCAAGTGTATATTTAATGAAATAACCTACCATGGCGTGTGCCACATTGTTTCATGTATACACAGGCATGTATAAGAACCAATTGCAAGAGTTGGCTCAGAGAAGTTGCTTCAATTTGCCATCTTATTCATGCATCCGAGAAGGTCCAGACCATGCCCCTCGATTCAAATCAACAGTCAACTTCAATGGAGAAACTTTTGAAAGTCCTACATTTTGCTCTACTCTTAGACAGGCAGAACATGCTGCAGCAGAAGTAGCATTGAACACACTTGCAAAAAGAGGCCCTTCCAGAGCATTGGCTGCAAGAGTATTGGTTAGTATCAAAAGTTGTATTGCTTTTCTTCTTTTAGTTCGATAGTGCATAGTTGTTCAATAATTAGTATTGTGGTTTTTGGCACAGGATGAAACTGGAGTTTACAAGAACTTGCTTCAGGAAACTGCTCATAGAGCTGGGTTGAACCTTCCTGTTTATACGACTGTTCGATCTGGACCAGGCCATGTTCCTGTGTTCTCATGTACAGTTGAGCTAGCAGGAATGAGCTTTATTGGGGAACCATCTAGGACAAAGAAACAAGCTCAGAAAAATGCTGCGATGGCTGCTTGGACAGCCCTGAAAAGATGTATGCATTTTCTCATTATTGTTCGTTTTCTTTTTCTTCTGAGTGTGCTCTACAAAACAAGCATGTTGTGGTTTGCCTTGAAAGATTCTATGCACAACGCCTATATATGTAAATTATTCCATGTTATCCATGCAGTGGCTGGACGTGGCTCGACTTCTTCAGCGGAGTCTAGAGGCAATGAAGAACAGGAACAAGTAATTATTGCTCGTATTCTTGGAAGTTTTCAGCCATCAGAGTCTAAAAATACTCAAAGTGATCGCCGACATGGACAGCAGACATACATTCCCATCTACAACAAATCTACCCTGCCATCACCAAGCTTATATCCTATGCAATTCCAGAACTGGGCTTATTCTAATTATTCCCCTGAAATAGCAATGTATGAATTGTGGCAGCAAGAGCAATTATTACAGCAACAAAATTGCCTGCTGCCGCTTCCTGTTTCACTAGCTACTCCATCTATTCCTCAGATGTTTCCATTTATGCAATCTGTGCTCCACCCTGATCACCGTCTATACTTTCCAGCAAGGGGGCAACAGTCAACCTCTGCGGGACCTAGAATTACAATTGCTACATCAGGCCCATCATTCTGCTTCTCAAACCATTTAGTTCCTAACCCAATCAGGGGCAAGTCCACAGTGACTATTCAAGAGATACAGGAAGAAAAGCCAGAAGAATCACCCGAGTACTCTCCATCTGTAGTGTCAGATCCGTTTAGTCCTGGAAACAGCGGCACTGAACTAAGAATCCAGGAACAAGTTCAGGATGAGAAACAGAAGCTTGGTGAGTTAGGAAGCAAAGTTGGAAGCCTTCAGCTGGAATGCAATCCAACTGGGCAATTTGGATGGCCTCACCCTAGGATGATGGATTCTAGTTTTAAGCCAGTTGACTTTGGATTACAAAGGCCTCATGGCTTTGACTCTTGTAGGCCCAATTTGAGACCCCAAAATCCTCCAGGAGTAAGTACTCCTACAAGCCTAAGACCACAATTTGCTGCAGATCCTGTAATAATGAGAACTGTAAGGCCTACTTCTTCAGTGGGGTCTAGACCACAAAATTTCCCAAGCAGGATTCCTGCTCCACCAAGAATGAGAACTGGGATTCCTTTGTCTTCAGCTGCACCCATGCCTGAAAGAAAAGAACTGGGAGGACTACGACCTAGCTTCATGGCACCAGCTGTTCGAATTAGATCAGTTGTACCGGTTTGTTCAGCTCCACCAGCAAGAAAATTGCCAAGTTCCAGCCAGAGGAGAGAGTTACCAAACATGGAGAAGAAAGATACCAATCAAGAAGACACGTCAAAAGCAAGTTGAGTGCTTAGTAAACTTCATATATGATTCAAGTATAGATAATACAGAAGTCCTATTAGTTTTTTGGTAGTTTATGTTGTTAGCCATTGATGCTTCTGCAAAGTAATTACAAATAAATCAGTAGTTTATTTTTATTTTTTTGGAATTCCTTGTATAAATTTGAGATCAGATTCTTTGAGCTTTATCAGGATTGAGACATTCATTCTTATTTTTCAAAGTACGTGAGTGATGTATGTACTGGCTAAAGGGGGAGAGATATATAGCTCTATGTTGATACTAGATAGTAAAATGTTCTTATCCTATTCCTCAAAACTCTGCATAATTTACCAACTAACTCTTCAGTTGAACTTGGAATCTCTTTCAAGTTGGCGGAATAATTTAATTCAAAAAATTAACTTTTTATATATTTTTTTTTTTTTTTTTTTTTTTTTTTTTTTTTAAATGTATTTCGTTTTCAAAAAATAAACGTATTTCGTGTTCATTTTACTTTCTTTTTAGCACAATAGGTTTAAAACCAATTTTTTTTGTGGTGTTAAACATGCTACAGTATTGCTAGTGTTTTCAGTTTACTTTCAGTATTCACAAACGAGTAATGCTACACTTACCACATTAGTATCTCAAATTTCTATACCACATGATGTGGCATGTCCATATCATATGATATATCAATTAAATGAATGAAGTGTATTTTAATAAATAAAATTAGAAAAACATAAACTAGTATTTTACATGATGTGGTATGTACACATCAACCGCCACATCATGTGGTATAAAATTGTGGTATAAAAAATGTGGTAAGACTAGTATTATTCTTCACAAACATATTAAAACTTCAATATATTACGTTAGGGGTGTTTAGAATTTTAAGATATTTTTCTACTTTAAATATGAAATTTGGATATTAATCAGTCGGGATCTAAATTTCCAAGCCCTTTATGTTTTGGTAAATATTTTTCAATTCACAGGTTAAAAACACCAAAAAAAAAACCAACTGAAAAAAAATCCGTGAGAAAAGCCCCAAAGACCCTAGTGTATGTATCACATGTTTTCGACTTTAAAAAAAAAAGAACTATGTATCACATGCCCAACGTTACATTATGCACCCGCTTTGCACGCTTGCCACGTTACAAATTACCGTAATTTCCTACAACTCTTGGGGTACAAATGTCCAGATAGGTTTTCATAATTCCCAGAGTACCCCCGCCGGTGACAGATGTCGTTCACAAACATGTCGTGCATTTTTTTCGGTCATCCTAGAGAGACCACTATATAAATATACAACTTTTCTCTACACCTGGAACAATAAACCCTAGACCCTTCTCTTCTGAGCTTTCTCCCTCTCCCCTCTACCCCTTCCCCCTCTCTCGCAGCTCCGCACATAAAGAGGTAAGAATTTACGATTTTAATGACTATTTGTCGTTGAACAAACCTCCCTCTGTATATACACGTTCGTGTGGCTTTTCTTGTTCTTGTGCAAAGTTGTGGATTTTAAAAATGATCAGTGGGGCAATTAATTTCATAGTAAAAGTATGAACTTAATGGGTTTTGGGTGTATTAGTAGGAATATTTTGTTGCTATCAGAGTTGCCGTGTGATTATAAGAAAAAAAATTATGGGTGATTATGCTTGTGTATTTTGGTGTAGGTGTGTTTGAGAAGCTGGAAAAATGCTTGTGTTGTTCGAAACTCCTGCAGGCTTTGCCTTATTTAAAGTGTTGAATGAAGGGAAGCTCTCCCAAGTTGAGGTAATTACTGTCTTAAAACCGTGTTTATGTGTGTATTTTGTTTGATGTCTGAGAAGAGGGAAGGAATCTGTGAAAAATGCTTCTGTGCATTATTTATTTTTTATCCTAGCTTTCTTTGCAAGTTTGCAACTTTATTTATCTCAGCTTTTAAGTTTTGGGTCTGATTTCGTGTCTCTCTTAAATTATATTGCAGGATCTATGGAAGGAATTTTCAAGTGCAGAGTCAGCTAGACAGGTGTCTATCTGTGTTTTTATGTGTGTGTAGTATGTGTATTAGTTTTACTTGTATTCATGCTCCAAAATATTTTTTGTTAGTTATCCATCTAATCAGTACATGGCATTGGTTTAGGTTGTCAAACTGAAAGCTTTTTCCAAGTTTGAGAATACATCAGAAGCTTTGGAAGCAGCAACCCTGCTGATTGACAGTAAACCCAGCAAAGGTCTGCGCAAGTTCTTGCGTGCGCACTGCAGTGGCGAAACTCTGGCTGTTGCAGATTCTAAGCTTGGAAATGTCATCAAGGAAAAACTGGTATGCCAGAGCTCTGCTTTAGAGAAATTTGGAACTGTTGTGAAACCTTTTGATGATTAAGTACATAGTGGTCTGTTGTAAGTTGAGTGGTCTGTTGTAAGTTGATATTTTCGTGATTCATATTATTTAAGTCGGTGCATGTATTTTCTTGCAGAAAATAGACTGTGTTCACAACAATTCTGTTATGGAGTTGATGAGAGGTGTAAGAAATCAGTTGACTGAACTTATAGCTGGTCTACAAGTTCAAGATTTGGCACCAATGAGCTTGGGTTTATCCCATAGTTTATCTCGATACAAGCTCAAATTCAGTGCTGAAAAGGTGTGCTTTTAATTATGAATTGACATCTCAGGACTTTGTACTGTGGCTAATTGAAATTAATTTGCTCTTTCAAGTTATAGCTTCGTATTGGGAGGTTTCTGTAGACCTAATATAGTTTACTGAATTCCAGGTTGATACAATGGTTATTCAAGCCATTGGTTTGCTTGATGATCTTGATAAAGAGCTAAATACATATGCAATGAGGGTTCGAGAATGGTACGGTTGGCATTTTCCAGAGCTTGCAAAGATTGTCCAGGACAATATCCTTTATGCCAAGGCAGTGAAGCTGATGGGCTATCGTGCCAATGCTGCAAAGCTTGATTTCTCCGAGGTAAGATTTGGTGATTTGTTTTGCTGCTGTAATCATAATAATATCTCCTATGGGTTTCCAGTGTATCCACCCTCTGTCTATGGTTGAATATTCTCTGTGACCAAGTTGCTGCCATCACACATTTTTTTCCTGGGTTAACATTTATTCATCATTGGGGAACAAATCTTCTATAATTAAGTTCTAAATCTCCCTTGCTAGAGCCTATGGGTGTATAAGGGTAGTTGTGTTTTATCATCACACTTTTTTGTGTTGCTAATAAATCTCATATTCTTGGTCAAAATATAACAGATATTGCCAGAGGAGGTTGAAACTGAATTGAAGGAAGCAGCTATGATATCTATGGGAACTGAAGTTAGCGAGCTTGATTTGATTAACATCAAAGAACTCTGTGACCAAGTTCTCTCTCTCTCTGAGTACAGAGCTCAGCTATATGATTATTTAAAAAACAGGATGAACACCATTGCACCAAATTTGACTGCTCTCGTTGGAGAGCTTGTTGGTGCTCGCCTCATTGCCCATGGTGGTAGCTTGTTGAACCTTGCAAAGCAGCCTGGGAGCACAGTTCAGATTCTTGGAGCTGAAAAGGCCCTCTTCAGAGCACTGAAGACTAAGCATGCAACACCAAAATATGGGCTTATCTACCATGCATCCTTGATTGGTCAAGCAGCCCCAAAGCTCAAGGGTAAAATATCACGCTCACTTGCAGCAAAAACTGCATTAGCAATTCGATATGATGCTCTTGGAGATAACCAAGATAACACAATGGGACTGGAAAATCGAGCCAAGGTATTTATTTTTGCTCATTGTTTTCTTTTAGTATTTTGAAAGCATCTGCTTAGAGATAAACATCTGCACAGCTTGAAGCACGGTTAAGGAATCTTGAAGGCAGAGAGTTGGGTCGGTTTGCTGGATCAGCTAAAGGCAAACCAAAGATTGAAGTCTACGACAAGGATCGCAAGAAGGGAGCTGGAGGATTGATAACTGCTGCCAAGGTCTGACAAATGTTTCTTTGGGATTTTTATTTCAGTTTGTCAGTTGATTATTTTAACCCTTTCTGTTCTCTGTAGGCATATAATCCCGCAGCAGATTCTGTTCTTGGCCAAACGACACCTGCTGGAGAAGATAAGAAAGAGAAGAAAAAGAAGAAGAAGGCTGATGATGAAGACATGCCTGCGTCAAATGACAGAAATGGAAATGCAGAAGCAGAAGAGGAACCCGTGAAGAAGGAAAAGAAGAAGAAGAAGAAGCATTCAGCTGAGGATGTTGATGCAGTTGAAAATGCTGATGCCGGAGAGAAGAAGAAAAGGAAAAGAAAACAAGCTGAAGAAGAATCTGATACGCCAAGCAAGAAGAAAGAGAAGAAGAAGAAGAAGAAAAGTGATGATTGAGGAACTTCGGAAGTTGTAATGATTGGAAACTCAACAATTTTGTTTAAGTTAGGGCAATCAGTCAGCTTTTCTATATATAAAATCGGGTCATTGTTGTTTTATTTCTTTGCTAGGTGTGGTCATTTCAAACTACTTATGCAGTTATTATGTAACCTCTAATTTCTGATAGACAAGTGTTACATGAAGTTGGTCAAGGGAATCGTTTTGCCCATCCAATCGTTCTCTGCGTCTCTTTACATTTCCAAATTTTAATTTGCCTGCTGCGGTAAAAAAATTAAGGGCATAATATTTTCTCACTTGACATTGGATGGGAAGTTTTCTGCCTCTCTCTCACAAACATTTTCTTTTCTAAAATCTAGAGTGGGCTATGGAACCCTCTTTCTTTTCCGCCCTTTCCTGGAGTCGAACTTTGTGGTACTTGGGAAACTTTGCAATTTGCAAAGAGACCAAATGCACCATTTAATTTTTGAGGCCTTCCAGTGGTGGATTATTTCCTCGCAAATTAGATTGATCTATTTGACAAAAAAAATATTGATCTTGGCTTTTGCACTATTGTTAGTGTGGAACCACGACTTGGTAAATACGAAATATACGTGGGGATATGTTTTATTTGAAAATAATGTCTTTATACTGGGTTTTGTAATATAAAAAGCGGGCATTTTTGAAAAACCAAGAATAGTGCTAATGGATTCATAGCTCGGTTAGTGGTCTAACTTTGAATAGTGGTCTCATGTTCAAACTCTAACGGCATCTCTCCTCCTCCTTCCAAAATATACCCAAAAATAATTAAAAACCAAGAAAAGTATAATATGTTTCCTGCAAAGAATAATTACTTCATTTAAATAAAATAAAAAAAGTTTTTTTGGGTATTATTTATAAGTATCCCCAACAAAAAAATAGATTCACACTTCCGTCTACATGGAAATGATTAAAACGATGATTGAAAAATTCGACATATTGTATGCAAGCTGTAAAAAATAAACTTTTTCAATGCTTGAGACCTCTTTTGCAATTGTTGGAAAAAGACAAATTCGATCTTGAAAATTTTAACGGAAGTGTAGTGACTTTCCGTTATCCTTTTTTTTTGTGTTCAACATTGTAGTTATATTTTAAGTTTTCAAAACTTTCCTGAAAACTCTTCAAACAAGTTTTTGGTAAAGTTTTGGGTATTTTTGTGTTTCCTGTTCCCATTTGGAATTGGTTTTGTTAGTAAAAAACAGAAATAGAGTCTTCATGGGAAATAAATATATATATAAAAAAAATACGCACAATAAATAAATAAAAGACGAAATTCTATTTGCCCAGAAAATTTGAGTAATATAAATAAATCCATTCATTCCTTATTTTGTTGGGAGAGAGGTAGAGATTAGAAAGAGAGTTGTCGGGTTTGACTTAGGAAAATTGGGAGATCTGCTGCTCTTTTTATTCGTCCTCTTGTCCGAGAGAGAGCCACAAAGGACGCCAAAACCATACCAAAACAAAAAAACTTAACAAATCTTACCAATCACAGACACAGATTCAATCACAGTAAGTTTAACTCTTCCTCTTTAAATCACTTGCTTTTCCAATCTCACTTTATTTCTTTAAAAGTCTGTCACTTTCTTGGGAAATCTCTTCCTTCACTCGCTTTCTTAATACCCAGATCAATTAATTTGACTTGTTAGTGAAGCTTGAAGAATCCCCAATTCCGCTCTAACCAAACTTCGAACTTTCAGCTACTCTTTCTTGTTTTTCATGTTGGTTTGATGATTTTGGTTACTGGGTTCTCTTAATCACATGCGTTTATGTACTGGTTAATGTTTGGTGAAAAGGTTGATCTGCGGAAGTTATTTTCTGATAAGTTTTAGGTGTAGGCTGATTCTTGAATCTTTTTTATTGTAGATTTTTGGAGGGTATTTAACCATCTGTTGTTGCAAATTGGTTGATTTTTGTAGTTTTGTGAGTGAAGGAAGAGCTTTTTGCATAGACCATGTTGAGAGATGAGGCTTAGATTTAAGAATGGGGTGTGTGATTAGCAGAGAAGCGTCCTCAGGAGTAGATTCTGAGTCTAAGGGTGAGAAGAAGGATTTGAGTGTAGAATCTAAGAGGAAGGTAGATGATGTTGTGGTGCCGAAGGTAGATAGTGAAACTATTGAGGTTCATGATGGTGGGGGTGAGGCTCATGTGGGTGGGGGTGAGGCTAAGAAGGAGGAGAATGGTCATGGAGGTCAAAGACCTCCCAGGGGGGAGAGAAGGCGGTCAAAGCCAAACCCAAGGTTAGGTAATCTACCGAAGCAATCGCGTGGTGAGCAGGTGGCAGCCGGGTGGCCCCCCTGGCTCACGGAGGCGTGCGGGGAGGCGCTCAATGGGTGGATTCCACGGAAAGCAGACACGTTTGAGAAAATTGATAAGGTGCGTTTTCTTTTTCCTTTTTATTTTTCTGGAAAAGTGGATATTGTTATTGTTGCTTGCTTTGTAAAAATGATGTGGTGGAGAGAGTTTATAAGAATTTCACATAATTATGGTCGTTTGCTATGACTTGAAGGGAAAATGAGATCAGCCAAGTCATTTTAGATGCATTCTTTAAAATCTTCCTATTTGGAGTGACTATCACAAATGATGTGGCCGTAAACAAAATTGCAATTAATTGCACACTGCCTATCACATAATTTTGGGTCGTATAATTTTTTATGGATATTTCATCTTGTATAGCTTTCTTGGCCAATTCATCATGTAGCTATGCTTTAGTTTATGTACTCTTCTTGTGTATGGTTTTGATTCCTTTCATTTTGTTTTCCCTAATGTTAGATTGGGTCAGGAACATATAGTAATGTGTACAAAGCTAAAGATATGTTGACGGGGAAAATTGTTGCACTAAAGAAAGTTAGATTTGACAATTTGGAACCCGAGAGCGTGAGATTTATGGCTAGAGAAATCCTAATTTTGCGGAGACTGGATCATACGAATGTTGTAAAGTTGGAGGGTCTGGTTACATCGAGGATGTCATGTAGTTTGTACCTGGTGTTTGAGTACATGGAGCATGATCTAGCTGGACTTGCTGCAAGCCCAGATATTAAATTTACAGAACCTCAGGTTAGCCATTTTTGCCCTAAACTTTGAAACCTAGTTATCACGTTGAAAGTAACTATTCTGATATTTCGTTATTTGGTATCTCACAATTCAGGTCAAATGTTACATGCATCAACTGCTATCTGGACTTGAGCACTGTCACAACCGTGGTGTGCTTCACCGTGACATTAAGGGATCAAATCTTTTGATTGACAACGGAGGAGTACTTAAGATTGCTGACTTTGGGTTGGCTTCTTTTTTTGATCCAAACCACAAGCATCCCATGACTAGTCGGGTGGTTACTCTATGGTATCGACCTCCTGAGCTTCTTCTTGGGGCTACTGACTATGGTGTGGGCGTGGACCTTTGGAGTGCAGGTTGCATTTTAGCAGAGTTACTAGCTGGGAAGCCTATCATGCCTGGTCGTACAGAGGTAACATGTTAACTCTCTTTGTGGATTTTACATTTGTCCTTGCTTAGTAAAAGACTAAATCTGTGAGAAGACATTTAACTGGTAATGTTTAAGATGGAGATATCGCCAGGTAATTTATAATTATTGCCTCCGGTTTGGTTGTACGATCATATATCCAAGTTGTTTTTCCTAAATGTCACTGCCATGGTTCAATGATATATCTAGTTGGCTTTCATAACACTGAGTTTCTTGTGTTCAGTTGGTTGTAATAGATGTTTAAAGCTAAAATCTTTTCCATTTTCTTCCCCATTTTCATTGTTTGTAAGTTAAAAAAATGCTGATATGATAACATATATATGGACATTTTGTGCTATTCTTGCTTACTGTGTTTCTGACATAAATATGTAAACTGCCTACTGTAGAGCATGTCTGACATCTTTACTTCTCAAATAGGTGGAGCAACTACATAAGATATACAAACTATGTGGCTCACCTTCAGATGAATATTGGAAAAAGGCAAAGTTGCCCAATGCAACTCTATTTAGGCCCCGGGAGCCTTACAAAAGAGCCATAAGAGAGGCATTTAAAGAGTTTCCTCCATCATCATTGCCCCTTATCGAAACCCTTCTCGCAATTGATCCAGCAGAACGTCAGACAGCCACAGCTGCATTGAGCAGTGAGGTGAGTTCTAACACTACGACCATTTGCTATCATTTCAAGATCTTGATAATGTATGGCTTCTTTCTATGTATTGTATTCTTTCTATAAGTTTAATCAACTACAACGAATCTTGATTTCTTGATAGTAGACTTGTCGGATTTTAGATAAGACTCCAAGAAAAAAAGGAAAAAAATGCAAACTGATATGCTTGCCGCATATCTTTCCTTGACTATTTTAGGGCCTTGTAGTCTGGAATGGTTAATGAAACTAAGCATTGTAATCCTTAGACTGTCACCCGCTTAACTGTGTCATGTTGGGGTCCAAGTCTTGTCTGGTAGTGTGGTGCCTAACCATCACTATAGTTATGCTAATTGGGTCCATATGCCGGTCCATGACTGCATTGATGAAAATCATGCATACTTTGTGCTAATTGGTGGTTATGTTAAGCTACTATGGTTCCTTTTGATAAATGTACTTATATTCTCGGTTTTGCTCATTCTTTCCTTGCAGTTTTTCATGACAGAGCCTTATGCTTGTGAACCTTCTAGCCTCCCACAGTATCCCCCAACCAAAGAAATTGATGCCAAACGCAGGGATGATGAAGCTCGTAGGTATGGGTCTTGTAGACTTTTTGAAGCTTAGATCTCACCATGTTTGGATACTTAACCACCATATGTGAAATTAATTTCATACGTTCGCTTATATTCAATAATGTGTGAAATGTGACAAGCAAAATTTTGGTGGTTGTGCAGACTTCGAGCTGCTGGTAGAACCCAAGCTGAAAGTGCAAAGAAAACACGCACACGTGAACGTGCTCCTAGGGCTATGGCTGCTCCAGAAGCCAATGCCGAGCTTCAATCCAATATTGACGTATGTCTAATAGTTGCTTCTATCAATCATTGTCATCTTATAACTTCACAGTTTCATTTACATAAATATGCTTTTAGATTACGTATTTTTACAAGAAGATAATAAGAAAGAAAAAAAAACAAAGTGGTCTAGCATTGTCTAAAGAATACTGCTGAGATCTCAGTGAGCCTGATCTGTTTGGTTTGCCACTTCAACATACATGCTTTGGCAATGCGACCTTGGCTTGTTTATTTGCCACACATTAATGAGTTTGGATCTAATGTGCTTGACAGCTTTACATGCTTAGACATAACATAACAATTTGACCAACTTTGGATGAGTTATTTGATAGGTTTCAATTTATGAGTATGCTAATACATCAATTATCTTCTAAAACAGAGAAGGCGCCTAATTACACATGCAAATGCAAAGAGCAAAAGCGAAAAGTTTCCTCCACCACACCAGGATGGGGCAGTTGGCTACCCTTTGGGATCTTCACATCATATTGATCCTGCCCTTGTTCCTCCTGATGTCCCTTTCAGTACAACCTCATTCAGTTATCCTAAAGAATCAATGCAAACTTGGTCAGGTCCTTTGATTGACTCTACTACTGCTGGTGGTCCAAGACGGAAGAAACATACCGGACATGATGCCCGAGAAACATCAAAATCCTATACAGGAAACCATAGAGAGAAACATCAGGATGCTCGTGTTCGAGGAAAGAGAAGTGTGGCTTAAACCCGAGTTCATAAGGTGGGAACATAATTGTGAACAGTTGGATGCCTCTTTCCAATCCCTATTCCATGGGAGTCTGATTGTTAGCAGACAAAAGTTGAATTTATCAGCCCCAGCTTCTTCTCGCAGTGTAATTGTTTCACCAGAAGTGCAGGGTTAAATACAATATTTTTTTTGTTTTATAATCCCGTTTACCTTTTGTCCCCCCATATCTACAAGATAATTAATTTTTCTTCTTTTCTTTTTGCTCCTTTTCCATTTGTTGGATGGTGAATTGGTGAGAGGCGTTGCCCTCTGTTATGTATATCTTCATCTTAATTCTTTTTCCCAAGTTTGTGGTGTTGGAAGCTTACTGCTTGGAGTAGTGAAATGATTTAATAAATCATCAAGGGCCACATTTGTTTGTTTTGTGCTTTATGTTTTTGTCTTTTCCATTAAATAAATAAGGAGCAAATTCTTTGGCCCAAAAATGAAAACGGAGTCAAAGACACAAAGATGGCGTGACCTTGTGATGTTTCAACCTGAAGAGAAAGTTTACCAGAACATTAAAGAAGAGCCTGAAAGATAATTAAATAAATGCCAAAAGCATTGTGCAATTAAGTAGTTTTATAAGCTATTGGACAATCAGTGGATGACATCTGGCACATTTTCATTTATTCTACTTTCATGCTTCTAAATTCATTTCCCCTAAACCCGATCCAACTAAAGAACACGAATTTTTTTTTCAAGGGAATTATTATTGACCCACCTCAAAAGTTATTTTGTACTTATAATAGTTATTTTTTTCCTAATATTAAAAGATGTTTCAAATTCGAAATTGCCCTTATCGATATAAAAGGACACTGAAAAAACTAAAATTAGTAACATGAGGGAATATAAATGGACATTTTTTTCCTTAAGAAAATAATATTTAAAGGTGATTGCAACTTTACTAGATCTATTTAGAGAAAAATTATTAAGTATTGAATTATTAATCATAAAAATCCTTTAATTTTGCAAAGAAGGGGGAAAAAGAAAAAGAAAAGGAAAAACAGAGCTGAGGTTTTCTAGGGGGAAAAAGGCGAACAAAGTTATTAAAATCTTAAAACCGCCACTAAAGAGAGCACTCTCATGTTCTTATTAAAACCGCCATTAAATTCCTCAGCTTTCTCTCTCGATCTCTCTCAAACACACGCAGAGGTTTCTTGTTACAGAAAACCCTCGATATTCTCACTTTCTTTCTCTGGAAACCAATAAAAAGCTTGGGCTAAAACCATAGAAACCAGAAGGCAAACAATGGAAGAAAATAACAGTAACAACGTGGCTAGCAACGTGGCCCAAGCCATTGCCGTAGCTCTCGACTGGAGCTCCACTTCCGATGCTCGCAAAGCAGCCGTCGCTTTCCTCGAATCCGTACTCTTTCTTTCTCTAAAAACTTCACCTTGTGCCGCTATCTCCGTGCTTTGTTATAACTATGATTTCTTCTTTCCGCCTTGAACTTTAAAGTGGTAGCTTTGTGAATGTTATGGCTCTGCGAGTCTGCTGGGCTTGGGAAGTATTGTTTTTTGGTAATTTGATCGAATTTTGTGAAATGGGTATTTGATTATTGTGCTTGTGGGGTTTTAAGTTTTTACAAAAATTTGTTCAGAATCAAATTTAGTGTTATACGAAAGTTTGTGTTTTGATCGAGTTACAGGGAATGTGTACTAGTGATTGGCTTACTGTGTCATAGAGAATGGAACGGTAATGGAGATTTTACAGCTCACAAATTTAAATGACTCCTTAAAATTTCCTGTTGACAGAGTTTATTGGATGATCTCATTGTTTTTCTCTGGAGCATGTTGATCTTTAGTATCTATAAAATGTTTCTGTAAGGTTCTGATCTTGTGGAATCTATTGCTTGGTTTAAGAAGCTATATCTACCTGTCATTATTTTCCTTTGTTGATCCATACCTTATGTTCATATTGTCCAGATTAAAGCCGGAGATGTACGCGTTTTGGCAAACACATCATTCCATCTAGTGAAAAAGGATTGGTCTTCCGAAATTCGGTTGCATGCATTTAAAATGTTACAGGTTTATGCTAATGGAATGTTGTTTAAGCAGCTTTCTGTTTGATTTATAATTATTTGAATATTTCCATTTGACCCAAATGCCATATTTTTGTGCAGCATTTGGTCCGGTTGAGGTGGGAAGAATTAAGCCCTACAGAGCGTAGAAACTTTGCAAATATCACCGTTGATTTAATGTCTGATATTGCAAATCCCAGTGAGGAGTGGGCTTTGAAAAGTCAGACAGCAGCCCTTGTTGCTGAGGTTTACACAGCATTTCTTTTGAATCTATTTAGACTGCCAATGCTCATATTTGCGTTATAATACTCACTTGTTTTGATCTGTTACAGATGGTTAGAAGAGAAGGACTAAATCTTTGGCAAGAACTGCTTCCAACTCTGGTTTCATTATCTTACAAGGGTCCTATACAAGTAAATATTATTTCCCCTTGTTCAAACTATATTTCATTTAAAACATGCTTTAGGTAATCCCCTGATTTTCTACTGCTCCTTTTATTAGGCTGAGTTGGTCTGCATGATGCTAAGGTGGCTTCCTGAAGATATTACTGTTCACAATGAAGATTTGGAAGGTTTTGTACTGTGGACTTTTTTCTTTTTGCCCGTGAATTGGCAGTGGAGTGCGTGTGTGTATGCATGTAATGCTTTTCCTCTGGATTTTGATTGCTGCATGCCTTACCCTGATTCTGAATGGTTAATGTAGGTGATCGGAGAAGGTTATTGTTGCGTGGGCTGACACAATCTTTACCTGAAATATTGCCTCTATTATACACTGTATGTCTGGCTCCTTGACTTTTAATAGAAGTTGCATACAATGGATTTATCATAATAGCTTAATTATGTGCAGTTACTAGAGAGGCACTTTGGAGCTGTGTTGAATGAAGCAGGAAAACAACAATTGGACCTCGCAAAACAACATGCAGCAACAGTAACAGCTACTTTGAATGCTGTTAATGCATATTCTGAATGGGCTCCATTGCCTGATCTTGCAAAATATGGTATAATTCATGGGTATGGTATCCTTCTTTAAAGTTTTGGTGGAGTCTGATTTGAAGCCATTGGCAAGTGTCTGTTTCTTATCTCCTCTCTCTCTCTCTCTCTCTCTCTCTCTGCATGCACAGGTGTGGTTTCTTACTTTCTTCACCTGACTTCTGTCTTCATGCTTGTGAGTTTTTCAAACTTGTTTCCCAAAGGTATGCAACGTAGTATTTCCAGTAGCTAGTTCAATGTTCTATACAGTTATAAATTATTATTTTCGCCCTTTTCAAGACAGTTCTGTAACAGTTGTGTTATTCTGAATTATGACATGCAGGAAGAGACCTATTGATGATACCTCTGCTCCGGAATTTGATTCTGCAATGAGTAATATCTTTCATATATTGATGAATGTCTCCAAAGAATTTTTGTACAGATCAGGCCCCAGTGCTGGGGTAATTGATGAAAGCAATATTGAGTTTGCAGAATATATATGTGAAAGTATGGTATCTTTGGGTTCTACAAACTTGCAATGTATTGCTGGTGATAGCACCATGCTAGGTCTTTATTTACAACAGGTAACTAGAACATCGGGTTATATGCAAAAGGGCGTTTGTTGCTTGCTCATTTTGATTCTGTCAACAAGTAATTGCTTATTGAAATACAATATAACCTTTTATTTTTATTATTTTCTCAGATGCTAGGTTTTTTTCAGCATTTGAAGCTAGTTCTTCACTTTCAATCTCTCCACTTTTGGCTGGTACGAAGAGAATTTCCAAATTATTGTTATATTGTGTCAATAATAGAGGCTATGTCATACATTACCATGTTTGAACATCTTTCATGTTCGTATATGCTTGTTTAGGCACTAATGAGAGACTTGATGTCAAAGCCAAAGGCTGTTGCTCGCTCAGCTGGAGATGGTTCTGACCCAGTTGATACTGAAAAGAGAAAGATCTTAAGTTTTTTGAGTGATGAAATATGTAGTGCAATTCTGGATGTATCTTTCCAACACATGCTCAAGCGAGAAAAGGTTCTTCATGGAACATCATTTGCTTTGGGGCCATTGGAGTTATGGAGTGATGATGCTGAGGGGAAGGGAAATTTTGGCCAGTATCGTTCAAAGTTGGTAAGTAATTTTTACATAAGAACTCTAATATCTTTGTTTCTGCATATTCGTACAACATGAATGGATGGGTCAATTCATCAACTTTGTTAGTAACTGCAACTCAGATTAGAGGAGCTGTCAAAATAACCCTGAAATGGAACTCATTTCTTTTCATGTTAAACATTTATGTCATCTTGATCATACAGAGATTTCTTTCTCTGTTCTGGTTTATAATATTACTCAAGGTGATGTTGGGATAAGTTTATTCTATGATTCTCTTTAGCATAGGTGATGAAAATTACTCAGTTGGCCTTCCTTGGCCTCCATTTTTTTTAAAGTTTCTCATGAGATTCATGCATATCTTAATGCAGTTAGAACTGGTCAAGTTGGTGACTTCATACAAGCCTCTTATAGCTGGGGCTAATGTTTCTGAAAGAATTGATAAAATCATCAAAAACCTCTTGCTTTCTCCAATGCCTGCTCAGGTCTGGTTACAAGCACTTTCTCAATTCGATTTGCTGTCTTTAGAGTTTCCAGCATTCCAGAATTGCTTGCATTGATGGTTCTTGTAAATTTCCATCCTCTGTCTAATTCCAGGACTTAGCTGTGATGGAAAGCATGCAGCTGGCTTTAGAAAATGTTGTAAGCACTATTTTTGATGGATCAAATGAAATTGGTGGGGGTCATTCTGAAGTTCAACATGGCCTGTGCAAAATATTTGAAGGTATATTTGGAACCTTCTTTTTATCTCCCTAGAGCTAGAATTTTATATCTTGGGTTTATTAACAATACTGGTTTCTTCACTTGAAGGTTTGCTTCAGCAACTTCTTTCTTTGAAGTGGACTGAGCCGGCCCTTGTGGAAGTACTGGGGCA